GGAATGGAACAGCAGAATTTAAAGCTGCAACATTTTGTTGCAGGACCCATTTATGTTACAGTATTTCCACATAGTGACACACACAGCATGCTTGATAAAGATCCGTAATATTAATATTTAGGCAGTTTTAAATACTGACAGGGGAAGTTCCTAGTTCTCCCTTGTTGCTGCAGCAACATCAGACATGTTACGCTTTATCTTGGTTCCTACACTATCATCCCGTAGTGAATTGCAACTTCCTGAATCTACTAGCAGCTGCCACCACCCTTGAATGGGTCATATGTGATGGAATATTTATGATGCAATTATGCTTTCCTGATAGTTTCTCAACAGCAAATATATTTTAGATATTACAGATTTTGCCGTATCCTTGCTGACAAGAAAATGCAACGCAGAAATATTTACTTTATATTTTTTGTCCATTTGATCCCTACTTTGTGGTTTGATAATCAGGGTTGTTGGGTTTTTCACTGACTTCGTGGCCACATATACATAGGGAAACATCTATTTGTAAGTCCTTAGGAATAATAAAACCTGCTGTGCAACCCGTTTCATTTTTTTATCTGATAGGGACACAGCAAATACAAAGTGTGTTTATGCTGCAGACAGTACATATTTATAGCACATAACTCCATTTCAAAGTAGATTAGGAAACAGTATTACATACAATAGCAGTCAAGTACATTTGGATTAAAATGCTAGAGTTAAATAACTCTTACTTCTTGTTGGTGGTACCTGCATTGCACCCTGTTCCTGTGCACATTTATGGAGAAGTTACATGTCACATTGCTCAGTGGAAGTTCATTGCAAGTTTGTTGGTTGGGGGGGGAGACTGTAGCATTTGATACAATTCAGTGCACTTTTACACAGAATTGAGGTCCACTATGTTCAGTAGGGTTCACTCCTTTATAAGTGTATTTAAGATTGCAGCCTTAGCAATCTTACTCCTACACTTACCTGCAGGTAAGCCCCTTTGAATTCCGTTGCACCTGCTTCTGAGTAGACGTGTACAGAATAGTGCTGTTTAGTCACCTAGCATTTTACACAACTCAGCTTTTCACCTAGTATGTTGCAGCAGGATTGTATTATAAATGGTCACTGGTATATCTCACATTGTGGATTTATGGCTTGGTTTCTGAAGATACATTAAGGGTACATTGCATGATGTGACAAATAAAAGGTTTCTGAACACCGCAGCATACTGCAGTCACTCTCTGTGAATGTGTGCATATCCCTCTGAGATGGTTAATACAATTGCCATTACTTCAAGGTGAGGCAGATTATGTGTGCCTCCTGTACCCTGCCTTCCTGCAGTGCTTTGCTGCAATATATTGCAGGATCAAGTAACTTTTCCGGTTCTCTTTCTCTCCCATCTTTGATTATACTGGAAGAAGTTGTAAAATATTTGCCTCCATACAATTGGTATTTATACTAAATCTTTGGAATAATGAGTTGTGTCAACTAAAACGTGTATGTCAGAGAATGAAGGTAAATGGCTGTGGTGGGTGGGGCCAGCTGCAAAATTGAGCACAGCAATTAATATGAATTTTACTTTTGGACAGTATGTTTGTATAGTATGTTTGTACATGCACACACCCCATATAACTTCTATCTGGGCATGAAAGGCACATTTTAAGAGTTCAATGACATATTCTAGCCAGGCACAAAAATCCAAGGAAGGTGCAAAGTAGGGGCAGTGAGGGGTATGGCATGAGGGCAAGGGTTGTGGCCTGGGGAGAGTTATGAATGCCTGATAGAGAAAAATGGAGGTCTGTATTTGGCCTGGGGTTCCCCCTCCTCCCTGTTTTAAAAAGTGGATTGTGTTTTCTTATTTATTAAACTTACTGGGTTAACTTACTAGGTTTTCATGGATCCCCGCCACCCAAAACGTAACTCAAAGCAACTTATTTACATTAAAGCTAACATAAAACAAAAAAAACAACGACTAAGGCATGTATTTATTTTAAAATTGTATACCCGCACCATTCTTGTCTGAGGACACTCCAGAGTGGCTAACTATCCATAGGCTAAAAAAAAATACATTGTATAAAACAAAATTTGAACCAACTTACATATAAAATCAACAAATATAAACAATTGACAAGGATTCAGCAATCAAGAGTGTGGAGCCAGAAAATTAAAAGCGCCAGACAATAACTGCACCAGCTCATCAACTAGGTTAGCTAAAAGAGAGAAGTTTTTTGCGTGCTGTTTATAGCTACAGGGCATTCAAGTACTGCAATACAGAGGCCACTCCCACAAAGGGTCTGTCTGTTGCGCTTCTTTTGGCAGAGGCACCTGAAGCAACACCTGATGGTGAATGGAGTGCCAAGGAGAGTACATATGGGTGGGATGGGGGAGAGATAGTGTCTCACATATCCAGGTCTCAAGCCTTTTAAGGTTTTAAAGCAACATGTCAAGTTTGAGACTGGAAACACATACGTAGATCACATTAAGCCAAGGTAATACATCCCTAAGGTGGTTCTGTGGTTGTAGTGCACTTTTTGACTCTGATCCTTAATCAAATAACTCTCAAAGCAGTATACAACTAAACTTGTAGCTAAGATACATGAAACTACAGTGGTACCTCGGGTTACATACGCTTCAGGTTACATACGCTTCAGGTTACATACGCTTCAGGTTACAGACTCCACTAACCCAGAAATAGTACCTCGGGTTATGAACTTTGCTTCAGGATGAGAACAGAAATCGTGCTCCGGCGGCGCAGCGGCAGCGGGAGGCCCCATTAGCTAAAGTGGTGCTTCAGGTTAAGAACAGTTTCAGGTTAAGAACGGACCTCCAGAACAAATTAAGTACTTAACTTGAGGTACCACTGTATACACACACACACAAAACTAATCTATTGAAATAAAACACTAATCTATGACAGAAAGTGAAAGTGTAAAACACCTATTTTGCAGAAGTTTTATAAAAAACATGATCTGCAAGGCCCTCATGTGCACAGAGGTTTTTTGCCTTCTTATGATGTTATAAGAAATCCCTCTCTTTTATTTGTTTTGGAAAAGAACATAATCCAATAAAGAGATACAGAAACCCTTCAGGTGCTCTTTGGTCAGTTTCCATTCCTATCTGTGTATGTGTGAAGGATGGGCTGGCTTGACAGGCAATGCTTCCCAGCTTGTCCTTTTCCTGCATCTCAGACATTTTGTTCCATCCTTCCATCCCTTTTAAATCACTCACTAGGGAAGATGCCATAAGACAGGTAGGTATTATCCTAAGGGCCAGTGGTTTGTCACAATAGATTACAGGGAATTGAGCACCAATAGAAGTGAGGGGAAAGCCAAAGTCACTCATTCATAACAGGAAACACATAATAAGGAAAGAAAGGCGTGTACCTGTTTCATTCCACATCCTTGATTTTGCTTCCATTTTATTCCACGTCCTTGATTTTGCATCCATTTTATTCCACGTCTTCAATCTGGCAAAGAGGGAGAGAGAGAGAGCAAAAGCTGTTCTAAGCCTTCAGAAGCATTGCCGTCCCATTGCCAGCACTGCTTTTCACCTCAGCCTCCACAAAAGCAGCAGGTTCATTGGCACCATACAAACACCCATAGAGCAGCCATGTAGGCTCTTGATTTCTGTCCAGAAGCACAGAGAGGTTGTTGCAGTTTGCATAGCATACTATTATCGCTGCATGTTCCTTGGTGATTAAGCACTGCCTTCCGCTGAACTTTTTTTTGAAACAGGCTGATTACAAGATTCTGAACCAAAGAGACTTAGGCGTTGAGTGTCTACACCAATTTCTCCTGGCTAATCTTTTTAGAAACTCAAAAACTGGTTGGCAATTGATTCGACATGGGGGATTTTATTGCAGATAGACTATTTAATGGTTGGGTTTTAATTGGTGTGTGCAGTGGGCCAGGGATACTTTAATAAGCACTGTATTAAGGATTCACTTGATACATAAAATGAAAGGAGAAAGTACATCAAGTTGATTCTCATAACATTATCTATTTTGCATATTCCAAAAGGTCCATAAGCATTGGAGTGAAGGCTCAAATCAAACTCTTTTGTTATGAGGTTGAATAGAATTAAGGTTTCACCTCAACTGCTCATGGGTGTGTCATATCTTATAGAAATCAAATCTTATCTTGCCAGGAAGCATCACATGTCTCCTATGGCTTCAAATCAAAGTGAATATATATCATGCTAATGTTAGTCATCACAAGGTTACCAGTCCTTTTAAATGTAGTATTATGTATAAATCTAAAGTGGAAGTTGCATCAGTCAAGTGCAGCGGTGATCACAAATAAAGCGCCACAAGTGATGCACCCTTCATTGGGTTGCATGCTTTAAAAATTAAACTCCTTCCTCACTTTATCTCCATAAAGGCGGGAAAGCTACTTGTATAGAAGGAACAGAAACACTGGTATTTCCTTGATTGTATGAAGTGTGTGCTATGCAGGTGTGAAATCATAACAGATGAAGAAGGTAGCCCCCCCCCCCCAATAATATAGACAACCAACTAATTATATCAAATTGTGGCTCCTTGAGGATTATTAATAAGCATGCTGGACAAAGTGCAAGCTAAACAAACATGCAACAAAAACAATCTCAGACATTCTAGAGTCTGCTGTAGTCCATTTAATGTTCTGTGTGTATGTATGTGTGATATTTATATATATTTTAAGTGAAAAATAATTTTCTAAATGTTTATTCTTTTGTTGTTGTTGCTAACACAAATAAAGGACAATATATCTTTAGGTTCTAAATAGGGTGAGGATTGATGGAATAATGCCTTTAAAGTGTAAACCGCTACGGTGGGAAGGAAAATACAATTAAAAACACAATAGTATTAAGAAAGGACATAAATGAATGGGATTTTGGTTTGGGGTGTGGAATCTGCTATCTGATGCACTTTTACCTGGGAGTAATCCCAATCAACATAGGGGTTTGCTTCTGAGCAAACATGTATAGGATTGCACTGTGAAAATGTGATGAATTGCCCTAAAATGTAATTAAGCTTCAGTGCTGTGAAACCTGGATTAAGAGCAAATTATAAAACTGTTTTCTGGTTTATTTATCAGTTGTGTTATTTTAGTGCTCAGAACACTTTTATCTACTCCTCCGAGAAGCCCAGAAAACTAGCAACAAGATGAGGAGTCACCAGATCTCCACCCAGCACATTATGTGCACATGGCTATGACTCCTTCTAGAATAAGGTCAGGTCACAGTCATTTGTGGGCAAGCAAGCAGATGTCAACTGGATTTCAATATACGTATATACATTCCCATTTCTAGCAGATAATTTTTTTTTGTTTATATAGCAGAGAAACATATTTATGTACAATATTGGGTTTAAAAATAAAATTCCAAAGGGGTTCTTAGAGTCTACAAACTGGAACTTTACCCTGGAACAAGGAAGGAAGGAGAGCAGTAATGAGTGCTTGCATGAATGTGTATTGCTCTGGTGCAAGACAGAAGAAAATTGCTCAGCTTTACAGATGAGCAATTCACATCTGCTTCTGTGACCACATTCCACATGGGTGCACTTGCACAAGTATGAAAATGAATAGCAATTTTGCCTATTCTCTTCCTCTTACAGCAGACAGTGGTCTTCTAGACCACAAGTGGGAAACTTCAAGTCAAGGGGCTATATGTGGTCCTCCAGCCACCCTATCTGGCCAGTGGGAACTCCCTAGGCCATGTCCCCTCTCCAAACCATCACACTAATGCTTGATCACACTGAGGTCCTTTCCACATTATTTCAGTCCTCCTTTTCAACACAGAGATTGTTAGAAGAAACCAGCTGTTTACTCCAACACAGGGAATGCCAGATGCTCCTAGAAGCCCACACACAGGGCATGAAGGAAACAGCCCTCCAACAGCAACTGGTTACTCAGGTGAACTGGCTTTTGAGTAGAAGCTCCACCTCACATATAGTGAAGGTGCAACATGGTTGTCTGGACCTCAACTACCAAAGACCACTGCCAAAAATGTGTGAGTGGAATAGACCGGGGGATGATGAAGCTAACTTGGAAATGATTTTAAGGACAGGTTTACAGTGGTACCTCAGGTTACAAACGCTTCAGGTTACAGACGCTTCAGGTTACAGACTCTGCTAACCCAGAAACAGTGCTTCAGGTTAAGAACTTTGCTTTAGGATGAGAACAGAAATCGTGCAACAGCGGGAGGCCCCATTAGCTAAAGTGGTACCTCAGGTTAAGAACAGTTTTAGGTTAAGAACGGACCTCCAGAACGAATCAAGTTCTTAACCCGAGGTACCACTGTACATATCTGCAAGCATGGCCAGTGGTCAGGGTGTATGGAACTTCTAGTTCAAGAGTATATGGAGCCACAATTTCCCCTTATCTGATCTAAAACATCACTGATTTTGTCTTGAATGCCTCTTTGAGGAAGATTGTTCCGTAACTTACCTAGGCTTAGGCATCTTTAGAAAATATAAATGATTTGGAATTGCCAGGGGATATAGAAATGAAAACTCATTTGTTGGCAGCCACATAGATGGATTATGAGAATGTGAAAAGTAGGAAATATGGTTAAATGAATATAATCAGGGTGAGGGAAGGCAGGCAATTTAATAGTAAATTATTTATGAGAAATGGAAGGCATTTATTGTTGTAATAACATAAAAGATAATATTCAATCTTGTATATGTTTGTTAAATATTGGATTGGACTATTTAAATAAACAATAAATACTTAAATGTATTTTTGTTCTCGCTTTCTCTTCTCTTCCTTTTTATTTACTAATTAATTCTTTCCATGACTATTATTATTATCATTAGTTACATGTGGTTATTTGCTTATGCTATTTTTAAATTAATTCTGCAATTTACTATAGATATTAAACTAAAATGCTATTAAAAGGCTGGAAAAGAAATTTTGAGTCTGTATTTCTTGAGTCTATGTTCTCAGGCTGTTTAAAAGAAACCAAAACAGAGCAAATCTGCCAACAGAACAATGGTGACAGCAACAACAAGGAGCTGTTGGCAACGTTCAGTGGAGGAATCTAAATCCTCAGAGTGTCTCTTGGTTGAGAAATTAACTCTATGACATAAAGTGGCGTGATTCAAGGATTTCTGGGATTTACCTACATTGTTGAAGGCACAAGCACACCTTTCTGTGGGTAGTGTCATGGGAAATTTAAGAGGGAATACAAGTTAGGCAATAACTTTGTCCTCAACAAGAACAGAGTAGCAAAATTAAGTGCAGGGCCACCTAAGGACTAACCTAGATAATGACACCATCCAGAAAAGTAGGGATGCAGAATTTGCATTTTAACATTTTCATGTACAGTGGTACCTCGGGTTACGTACGCTTCAGGTTACAGAGGCTTCAGGTTACAGACTCCACTAACCCAGAAATAGTGCTTCAGGTTAAGAACTTTGCTTCAGGATGAGAACAGAAATCGTTCTCCGGTGGCGCGGCAACAGCAGGAGGCCCCATTAACTAAAGTGGTGCTTCGGGTTAAGATCAGTTTCAGGTTAAGAACGGACCTCCGGAACGAATTAAGTACTTAACCCGAGATACCACTGTATTAAGGTCAAAAATATTTTTGAGTACGTACTGTATTTCAAGTGTAACGAAAACTGAACTTTAATCCCCAGCAGTTGAAAAATAGCAACACATTCCCACAACAAGCAGGATTTTATTCTTGCCTCTGAAGCATTGCAAATTGAAGTATGGTTATGTGTTGCTTTACTGGACAGTGTTCATGACACAGATAATGATTATACATGTGTGGTTTTCCACATACACTGTTGGCTGATGTTTTTCTCAACATGGAGGTAAAGTAATCTGGGCATGTTTAGTCTGTGAAATTAAAGGACAGCAAAAAAAGAGAGGACATATCCATTGCTCCATAACTACACCAGTTCATTATTTTCTTTCAGTATGCATGCATAACTATCCTAGAAAGAATAATTGATAATCTCTAGTGAAGCCCTTGGGTCCAGCTGTGTCTTATGATCTTCCAATTTCACCAAACATGACTTGGTGAACTGAATTTTCAAAACCTATCATTCATTGCTTTTTGTATTTTTCCATCAGAGGTACAGTATGTTACAAAAGCAAAGCTTTCTGACAATTAGAAGTAAATTACATAGTCCAGAAAGCAATGCCAACCCAGTTATTTACTTTGTAAAAAAATAGCAAAAGACTAGAAGCCATGAATCTATGAAACAATTTCCATATACCTCAGTAAAGGGCTGTTCTGGAATAGGCAGTTTTTTCAAACAAACAAACACTTTTATATTGCTTATCTACAATCCACATTGATGTGACAACTGTTTCAGCAATTCAACTTATGGTCGTGATGCATTGGAATAACTGGAACTTACATATATACAATGGTTTTAAGTTAAAATATGACTATATGAAACTACCTAATACTGAAGCCACTACCTTAAATGGAACCAGGTGATTACTCCATTTAGCTCAGTACTGCCTAGCACTGACTCCCCAAGATTGACGTCTTTCTAGCTATAATATCCGTGAGGTTTTTTTAACTGAAAGGCAATCAGAAGTACAGGATAAGAGTCAAACTATGGCCAACTCAGTCATAAACCTGACTAGATGACTTTGGATCACTCACTACATCTCATCTTGAAGTTCCTCACAATGTATTAGGGGCCTAATGCGGGGAGAACATACCTTCCAAGTGTCCCAATTTTCGAGGGACAGTCCATAATTACAGCAGCCATCCCGGTTTCTGATTTGATCCTAGAATGTCCCAGTTTTCCTTTTGCCTCCCCTCCACATCTCAGAGAACAATTAAAAGTGGTGGAGAGATCAGACCCCTCCTCCTTCAGCCCTTTTTGGAAACAGGAACCATTCCCCTCTCTGTCTGTCTCTTTCTCTGTGTATAGGTACAAAGATGGAGTCCTGTTTATACTGAAAATAAAATACCTGCACCAAATGAAGGAAGTGAAGCTGACATACCAAGCCCTTCCTATAATGCTGAAGGGAAATGCAACTAATCCACTTTAAATTCTTTAATTGCAATGCTTCAGCAGCCAGCAATTTATTTTAGGAAACGTGTGGTGTGTTTATTCCTTTATTGTAAACTGAGCCTTACTCTGCAAGCCTTTATGTGTCTACTCAGACTTAAGTCTTGTTGTATTCGAAGGAGCTTACTACACAGCCTTACACTGCAATCCTAGGCATTTTTACTCAGTAGCAAGTCCTACTGATTTCAATACGATTTACTCTCAGATCATTCTCTAATGTATTTTTATTTATTATTATTATTATTAACCCCCACCTTTTCCTCTGACAGGGATTCAATGCAGCTTACAGCCACATTTTTATTTTGCTCCATTTATCTGTTGAAGGGGTTGTACATGATCCCTTCCCTCACACATTTGTCTCCAATCTTTCTACCCTAAAAGGCAAGATGGCCAGGGAAGATTCTCAGCAGGGCAGCCTGACTCACTGTTCTATTATAGTATAGAAATTCTAATTACAAAGGTTCACAGGTGTTTGTTTTTTTAATATGCTCCTTCCTCCTTGTGGATTTGAAAGACCCCAATATACCATAATTACAACTTGGGGTGGGTAGGGTTCATTCTTTAAAATAATGAGGTAGGCCGGGCTAGGCCTGTACTCCAGTCCTGCAGCTGTTAGTCAAGATGGCTTCCAAAACCCAGAAAGAAAGGGGGGGAAACCTTCTTTGTCTGCCCTTCTCCTCAGCCCAGTCTGCAGAGAAGGGCTTGAAAACTTAAATGAATCTTCTTACAGAAACAAGTCTAATCAAGGAGTTACACAGGCACAGGTTTCCTTAAAAGATGAAAAATCCTAAATGGCAGTGTCTAGCAAAGAACTGGAACAGGGTCTCAATCTTCGTGTTTTGTTTGTTTTACATTTAGTGAAATAATAATAATAATGGCCAAACAGAATTAAAAGGGCACTTGCTGAAATCACAGGGTGGGGAAGATTCATGAGTGTGTGGGGGGGAATTCCCCCATACTTTATATGTTTAAAAATGTCCCATAGTGGATGGAAGTCTTCCTTTACTGGTTTCCATTTTGCCTAAAGCTTGTTAAGTACACAAATATCCACGCATGTCACAAAAATGATGGCACTGAATTCAGTTTCCAGAAAGACAGTAGTTTCAGTCAATAAGAGCAAAAATATGGAAGTTTGAGGAACCTTAAACACTTATTCAATGATGCATTAACTATAGGGCAGCAAATAAACCCATAGTCTTTAGTTTTCCACTTCTGCCACAAGGCTTCTTACAAGGTTGTTGTTATGAGGATATTCATTCATTTAAGAGACTCCTCTATCACTTTTTAGGACAATTGCCTCACCAAGCAGTGTATAAATAAAACACATCAAAAGAATTAACATGACAATAAAAACACCATTCCATTTAAATTCCATTTTAGTAAGTCAAAACTTACTAAAACCAGCCCTGGGCAAATTGCTCGCAGTATCCAGCATCACAATTAAAACTCCAAATATATGCTTTCAAAATTTGTTTGAGATCAGAGAGAGCATCTGCATAACTTTTCCCATGACTGAATTGCATAAGCAGGAGAGGCAACTGCAGAGAGAACCCCATTTTTTTGTACCCAGCAGCCTAATAGGTTTCCTCGTGGACACCTCAACTGGGTCTTCAACGTAGATCTTAGGGTATTGCGAACCTGCTATGGATGCAGGCAATCTTTAAGATAACCTGGTCCCAAACCCTTTAATGAGGAAAGGTGCAGGGAGGAAAATCTTTCTATGTGCGCCATCTTGAGCCCCTTGAAGGAATGACATTTTGAAGGAATGACATTTTTTTCAGCACTGTAGTAGTCAAAGCCAGAAAAAAGGCTATCTGTGCGCGCGCACACACGAATATAGTGAGATATTTTTGTTTGCGGATTTTATCTTCTCATACACTTGTTAAAATTCTAACAATCTGAGGACTTTCCGATTTTTAGTTGCATGGCACACACACACACAAACCCCAATGCAAATATGCAGACATGCTATTATTATTTCATCCATTCCCGCCCCTTTCCTCCAAGGAGCTCAAATGGTTCCCCTCTTCACTGCAACTTCACCACAACCCTGCGAGGTAGGTTAGGCTTAGAGACTGTGACTAGCCCAAGGTTATGAATTCCTATTAGCCTTAGGTCCTTAACCCGAGCCTGTATCAGAAATTTATTACAGCACGGCAAACTTTCACAAACTCATAGAGTCCACTTCGTCAGGTGAAGCGCCACCCTCCTTTTCCTGCCGCTTCGTGCACCGGCTTTGATGACCGCACTTAAAAGCTCATGCCCGTAAGAAATCCCTTAGTTCAAGATACAAGATGGCAAGCCTCCTTTATGCTTTAGGGCGATTAGTAGGCGCTTCCTTCAGGGGAGGGAAACGCTGCTATTGCAACAGCAGAGGAAACCATTCATTTTTTATTTTTTTTAAAGATTTTTATTGATACAGCAAGGGGAAAAAACAAAAACACAAATACCAAATTACACACAGGAATAACCATAGACACATAATTTTCTTGGCAAACAATAAAACATATATTGGTCTTAACACTAAAGACCCGACCTCCTGTCTATTCCATATTTTGATTTGATATTACTTTTATCCAATACACACTTTTATCATAATTAAACTTTTTCTTAATATATCTAATTTATTATATCTACCTTGCAACTATTACTGAAGTTCCCCGAATGCTGCAACAGAATTTAAACTACTATATTTATTTTTCAGATATTCTTTGAAAACCTCCCATTTTGAAACAAATTCCTGTTTTGATTTATTCTTTATTTTTTCTGATAGACCATCTAATTCGGCATATTCTGTCAGCTTTTGGTTCCAATCTTGTATAGAGGGGATTTCATTACTCTTCCATTTTGCCGCGATCAGAACTCTTGCTACTGCGGTCATACCCTTCCTCTTTTGCGGAATATCCGAATCTGTTATTCCCAGGAGGTAGGCCTCTGGTTTTTTATTGAAAGAGATCTTTAGCATTTTTTGCAGTTCTGCAGGGATACTCTCCCAGAATATCTGTATTTTCCAGAGGAAACCATTCCAAGCGTCACGTCGTCAGCTGATCCTCAGAGTGTGCGCCCAACCAGCACCAGCGGACTACAATTCCCAGCAGCCCTTTCGCGACCCAGCCACGCACCGCCCCCCCCAAAAGTTTGAAGCCGGGAGGAAGGGTGTGCGCGATGGGCTAGTTCCCGCGCGGATGCTCGGTTCGAGAGCGCGAGGAGGCATTCGCGGGGCTGCCTCTCGTCTGCCGAGGATCTCCGAAGTGCCTGCCCTCTTCCTCCAAGTCGCTTGCCTGGGCATGCCCGGGCGTGCAAGGTAGGCGTCGCCGGCGTCATCGCGTGATGAGCATTGCGCGCACTGGGGCTGCCCCTCGGTAAGCCGCCCCTCCTGCTGCCTCTCTGGCCTGTTCCCTCTTCCAAATCGTCTCTTCCCCACACTTGCACCGTCGCGCTTCTGTTTGGGAACGGCTTTCGTTGCATTGAATGGAGGCCTTTTGCATAGCCACCCACCCTAGTACCGCGGTTCTTTTGGTGAGCCCTCGCGGGTAAGAAAATGCTAGTCCCGAAAACGTGGTGTTTTTCTGTCTAACCGTTTCCTTGGTTCGCTGATATCCTTGCTACTCTGATAACTCCCCACTTGGAGCTTTTCCTTGGGTCACCGTTGCTACTCCCCACCCCCCAGTCAGATAATGTATTTTTTTTAGGGTCCCCTCTAGATGTCCTTTTCTAAATGGCACGTTCGTGGTTTGTGCTTCCTGGTGCATGTTTCTTCCCGCGCTGTGCCATAGATGAGCCCGTTTTTAGTACTGTTCGCGCATGCAAAGGTTTCGTGGTGGTCTGCTTCACGTGCAATCGGTGCATATATCCTGTACTGTTCAGATGTGTTTTATTTGCATCTAGTCTTCAGACCCTACTGCAAAGCGAATGTTTGACTTCAGTAGAAGTTTAATTCTTGAGTTAAAGATAAGTTACATCATAAACAAGCTTACAATGCTAAAATTGCTTGTTGGATCATAGCGTGGCCCTTTTAAAAGGTCGAGGAAAACTTCCTTTAACAAATACTAAAATGCAATGCTAACATGAATATATCTGAATAAAACTATGTAAAACCTAACTGAATGGAAATGTAACACAAACATAAAATTCTGTATCTCCACAATTCTACGGCACAGCATGCCCTTTTATCAATTTTATCCTCATGAGTTACTGCATACAATGGTCAAGACTGCACATTTTATATGTTCTCAACCCAGTAGATAAGTTGTAGACTCATGGGCAGGCCTCTCCCTAAAATTTGTACTAAGTATTGTCCTCAATATGCAGTATATAAGGTACATAATTTGTGAGATCTTCAACCTGGTTTAAACCACAGGGACAGGTGTTTTCAGAGTATGGCATATTTCTGAACCTTCCTAAAACAGCTGAAGGCATTAGGTTTAATTGGACTCCAGTAAAGGCCATCCTCTCTCTCTGTTTCTGCAAATCCTTAAAATAGCAAGGTAGTACAGAAAGCATGTATAGAAGATTCTTATACAATGGTGCAATTTCAGAGATTGAGGCAGTTGCTCTGTTCATCTGAAGAGAGATACCAATCTGTTTAAAACATTTTACAAATAGAATAGAGTCAGAAAGGACCACTGGGGTCATCTAATCCAACCCTGCAATGCAGGAATGTTTTGCCCAATGTAGGGCTCGAACCCACTACTCTGAGAATAAGAGTCTCATGCTAGTTGAGAAAAGCCTAATGTCGCCCATAGGAATGAAACTAATCCCGTCTGCTTAGCAAACTCTACAAGGAAGGTGTGTCCCGTTTTCTGTTTGAGAAAGTGGCACCACCAAATATCTGAAACAGAGTACTGTACAGTACTTGCTCAATTTTCACCTCATCTAACGCCTGTATGTTTGGTCAATCAGTTTGGTCTTTTGATAGGCTGCAAGTCTTCATTTTTACAGTAATTACCAAAAGGCTGAAGGAGACATGACCCAATCAGGGTTAAAGACATCAGTATTGTGTCCCCTGTGTATAGAAGGGATGTCATATTTTTTATCATGTATATTTTTTCCAGAGGCAACAGTGAGAGCCAGACAGTTGTGCAACCACATCATTTCTATATAAGTTGAACAGCAGAGATGCCAGGATGCATCATTGATGGATACCCTTTGTGGCTTTGATAAAATCAGAGTTCCCCATGGACATCATCCAGACTTTTTAAATGAAATGTTGATATAGAGAGCCTGTATACAATATAGAAGATGTTTATTAGCTGCCTCTCAATTCCCCCCCCCCCAAAAAATGGTATAATATCAAAGGCATACCTGAGATTGAGAAAAGTTACATACAAAGTTTGAGAGCTATTTACAGTATATTTTTTTGTACAAGGTGATTTAAAAGGAGGCAGTGATCATTTATGGCTTTCACAGCTTGAAAACCTGCTTATTCATAAGCTTGTATATTATTGGTTACTACCCAATCCTCTAACTCATCTAAGAGAGATCTAGCAGAGATTTTCCCAATCACATCAAGTAAATTAATTGCAACCTGTTGGATTTTGTCTTCCACCATTTTTGTGGGTGGGCGGGGGAGTATATAAGGACTATTCAGTTGGAACCTTCCCAGAAGTATCAATGTAGATAAAGGGTGAGGCCAATATTTGTGTTGGATGAGATAAAAAATTCCCTTAGAGTTGTGTTTATTTTAGTTTGTGCAAGTAATTGACTATATTTCATTCCTTGTCCCAGGTGGCCATTTGGCAACAGGTTCTAATGGTAGACAGGATGGGTCAACTCATTCAGAATAAAATCCTCTCCTATAGTTTTTATGACACTCAAATTTTGAAAAAGAGCTACCTTCCATATTAGACACCAATATGAGCAATATAGAATACAATTAAGAAAGTAACCCTTTCCCCCCTCTATCGATTGTGTTTAATAAATTTTTCAGATTATGTTAAGGGTCTCAGAATTTGTTTTTCCATGTTCTTTAATAATAAAACTGAATTTGATTAAAATAAACCAGTTTGTGTTAAGATTCAACAAAGTTAATTTTATTTGGTTAACAATCCAGATTATTGTTGACTTCTTTTTCCCCATGTTGAAAATTTAAGATAGTTCCTTTCCATTATTCCTTTTCTGGAGTATACTGGGTTACTTCTCTGCCTCCTGGGGCCCAAAACTTTTCGCTGCAGGGCAAGAGCCCTTTGGTTCACATCTTTGGCCATGTAACTGGCTTTTGAAGTTACTGGGAGGGGAGCGTAAATTAAGGACCCCAGGAATCTCAGGTGGATCACAGATTCCCAGCACGCTTCTCACCCAGCCAATTCTAGAATAGCTGCACTATAGTCCCTCTGAACACAAATAATGTTAATTCTTTGGGGAAGCATTACAGAACAACTAACAAAGCAGAATAAATCCACCACTAATGCAGTATTATTCTTTCAAGAACATGTTGCAAAATACGCCTTTAATCTTCAAAATCAAAATATGTTTGCAGTGTTTTCTTAGTGTAGCTTGTTGCCCTTTGTTATGATAATTAGAGACTTTGGTAATTAGGTAGCATATAACTAACTTCTCGTGTGTGTGTGTGTGTGTGTGTGGAAAGCATGGCCTCCCTGGGGCTGTCCCTGAATAAGTTTGGCCCAACTCATAGTCATGGACATGCCTTTGACCTGGTGTTCATCTCTAGTGACGTGAGTGATCTGACACTAAGTAAAAGTGAAACAAAAGAAGTGCCATGGTCAGATGACTTCCTGGTGCAACTGGACTTCTCCACGACCCTTCCCCTCTGCAGGGAGGTGGGACCAATTCGGATGGTCCGCCCCCGCCACTTAATGGATCCAAATGGTTTCCAGAGAGTGGTAGGGGATGCTTTATCCCATGTTGATGGCCTTTCAGCTGATTCCCTGGTGGCCCGCTGGAATGCGGAGTTAACCAGGGCTATCGACTGTCTGGCTCCGAAGCGCCCTCCGATTGCATGGAGCGCGGACAGCCCCCCGTGTTTTTCTTCGGAGCTGAGGGCGATGAAACAATCGCTGAGACAGCTAGAGCGTCGGTGGCAGAAAACTCACTCCGAATCTGACCGGACACAGGTTAGAGCTCAACGTCGAGCCTACCAAGTGGCGATAGCGACGGCAAAGAAGACTTTCTTCACCGCCTCTATTGCATCTGCAGAAAATAGTAGCAGGTGACTCTTTCAGGTGGTTCGCAATTTAACGGAACCACCTTTACTGTCGGGGCCTTGTAAAGACCCCAAGATCTCCTGCAACGATTTTGCAAAGTTTTTTGCAGATAAAATCACTCATATTCGGAAGGAGCTAGACACCACCATGGGAGCAGGGCCGGGGCGGGAGAGTGATAGAGCTCTGTCTGGTCAAGTTGCATGGAATCAATTTCAATCCGTTACCCCCCGAGGATGTGGACAGGCTGCTTGGACGCGTGAAACCAACCACCTGTCTCCTTGATCCTTGCCCATCCTGGCTAATAAAAGCAAGCCGGGAAGGGCTGGGCGATGGGCTCTGCGGGGTGGTGAATGCTTGCCTCTGTGAGGGAACATTCCCAGATCCGCTGAAAGAGGTGGTCATTAAACCGCTTCTTAAAAAACCATCTTTAGACCCGGCCAGTATGGCCAACTATCGCCCAGTCTCAAATCTTCCATTCTTGGGCGTGGTTGCTGAACAACTCCAGGCACGCCTGGAGGATGCGGACCATTTGAATCCCTTCCAATCGGGATTCAGGCCTCATCATGGGACTGAAACTGCCTTGGTCGCGCTGGTTGATGATCTCCGGCGAGCTAGGGACAAAGGTGAGAGTTGTTTCCTAGTTCTGCTGGATCTCTCAGCGGCCTTTGATACAATCGACCATAACATCCTTCTGGACCGTCTTGAGGAGCTGGGACCTGGGGGCACTGTTATACAGTGGTTTCACTCCTTCCTCCTGGGCCGTGTTCAGAAAGTGGTGGTGGGGGATGAGTGTTCAGACCCCTGGCCTCTCACTTGTGGGGTGCCTCAGGGTTCCGTCCTCTCCCCCATGCTTTTTAACATCTATATGAAGCCGCTGGGAGAGATCATCAGGGGGGTTGGACTGGGTGTCCATCAATATGCAGATGATACCCAGCTCTACCTCTCTTTTAAATCAGAACCAGTGAAGGTGGTGAAGGTCCTGTGTGAGTGCCTGGGGGCGGTTGGAGGATGGATGGCGGCTAATGGATTGAAGTTGAATCCTGATAAGACAGAAGTACTGTTTTTGGGGGACAGGGGGCGGGCTGGTGTGGAGGACTCCCTGGTCCTGAATAGGGTAACTGTGCCCCTGAAGGACCAGGTGCGCAGCCTGGGAGTCATTTTGGACTCACAGCTGTCCATGGAGGCGCAGGTCAATTCTGTATCCAGGGCAGCTGTCTACCAACTCCACCTGGTACGCAGGCTGAGACCCTACCTGCCCGCGGACTGTCTCGCCAGAGTGGTGCATGCTCTAGTTATCTCCCGCTTGGACTACTGCAATGCGCTCTACGTGGGGCTACCTTCGAAGGTGACCCGGAAACTACAACTAATCCAGAATGCAGCAGCTAGACTGGTGACTGGGGGCGGCTGCCGAGACCACATAACACCAGTCTTGAAAGACCTACATTGGCTCCCAGTACGTTTCCGAGCACAATTCAAAGTGCTTGTGTTGACCTTTAAAGCCCTAAACGGCCTCGGCCCAGTATACCTGAAGGAGCATCTCCACCCCCATTGTTCTGCCCGGATGCTGAGGTCCAGCGCCGAGGGCCTTCTGGCGGTTCCCTCATTGCGAGAAGCAAAGCTGCAGGGAACCAGGCAGAGGGCCTTCTCGGTAGTGGCGCCCGCCCTGTGGAACACCCTCCCATCAGATGTCAAAGCGATAAATAACTACCTGACATTCAGAAGACATCTTAAGGCAGCCCTGTTCAGGGAAGTTTTTAATCTGTGATATTTTAGTGTATTTTTGGTTTCTATGGAAGCCGCCCAGAGTGGCTGGGGAAACCCAGCCAGATGGGCGGGGTACAAATAATAAATTATTATTATTATTATTATTATTATTATTATTATTATTTTATTTTATTTTAGTTATCTGCTCATAATACAGTCTATTGATATAAAGCAAAATATTGATATCAAACCTTTTAATAAATTATTAGTACTCTGTTTCTTAGTATCATGTATATGAGATACTCTACAGTCACTATTAATAATAAAGTGTCAAAGAGATCGGTCTGAATTATTGCATCGTTATGCAAATTGCTGACATGTAAAGGTGTTCTCCTTTCCCTTCCCTTTTCAGATAATGGAGTGTCTTGTGTCTTCTAAAAGAGCTGAGAATGCATCGTCTGAACAAGAGGAAAGTGAAGATGAGGTTGAGTTTGTTGGGGTATGTAAACAGTATCAATCAATCATTTCTTGTGTTTGACTAAAAGCCATTACAAACCTAGTTACAAAACCGGCCTATAAACAATATCTATTTTAAATCTAAGCAACACCATAGTTCCCTCTAATAGCAAACCTGGGCAGTTGAGTACCTATAAGTATGGAAACTAAACAGATAGTGGTTTCTAGAGACACAGGCAACTCCTTGGATGTGCATTGTATAAGCTTGTAAATTAAAATACTTTTTTTCAACCCTTGAAATGCCCAACAAGGAGATAAGGAATGCTTATTGAACTCATAGAGAGAAGAGGGAAATAGTGTAAAGAAACATCAGGCAGACAGAAGAAGTTGTTCAGTTAAATCCATAACTCAAAGCAGTTGAGATAATGGCCTGGTTTTCACATCAAGACAAGTCAAACTATGGCTTATTGGGACCATGCAAATGTTTCCAGCCCACAATATCTGGAGAGCACATTGTTGGTTACCCCAACCTGATCCTGGAGAGCTATGTCTGAAAAGTGGTCTATAATTAGTAAATATGTAAAATAATGAATCAAAATGTGCTGTGATACCTTCCATGAAGAATGATATTGTGAGGGAAACCAATGTAGCCCCAGGCATTGGCCAAAGCAGCAGAGAACTTGCTTGCCTCCTCCCTACCAGGCAGAACACTCTGCTCCAACTGTCAGTTGCCTGGGACTGCAGAGTACAAGCAAACCAAAGAACAGGCTGGCCTTTAACACCGGCCAGAGGGCTGCTAGGTATGGTGATATAAGGCTTTTATCTGTTCTGAATTGTCTTGGAAATAATTTGATAGGTAGGGTGTGAATCTTTAAAATAAAGTACAAAGGATTTGAAACTAAACTTTTTTTTAGCACACTGTCCACATATCCGAGGAATGTGGGGAAAAATGAGCTGTCCTTATAAATCTGTTTCATGTGTCTCGTTTTATAGTTAACCTGAATTATGTGGCAGTGCATTCAGATTCCTTCAGTGCCCAAATACAGATAAATTTATTTTTGTGACCCATGTCCATATGTGTTGTTTTTTTCCATTAGGAAAACATGAGGAATTCTGAAAAAGTGGGTGACATGTGTTCCTTCTTGTACAAAGGCTAAGCAATTTATAAAGTTCCCTTCTGTTAGTACTTTAATTTTAAGTTTTTATTTTGCTTTCCCCTGCTTAAATCTGTGTAGCAACCTTGTGAGATGCACTAGGGCTTAGATAGTGACTGGTCTAAGATCACCCGGGGAGCTTAGTTATTAAGTGGGAATTTTAACCTGGGTCTCCCCAGTCATAGTCCAGATCTGTTACACCAAATTGGCTCTTCATGTAAAAAGCCACGGTGGGAAGGCTTACCGGTGAGAACCATTACTGTTAGGAGTTCAGCCTACACTCTAGTAGGACCCTGGCCGAGACACATGCCCGACTGGCATGTTCCCTCCCTCCTAGTCGATCGTTCAGGAGCTTCATAAGCTTTCTTCAGCCCAAACTTCACAGCAACCGATGCCAACAGACATCGGCACACTTAAGGATCCGCAGAGTTTGCGCAACTTGTGTAACAGACCTCAGCAACTCAGCATTTTTGCTAATCTACTTTATTTACATATAAACACACACAGATCACTGCAGCATGATTCCCTCTCTCTCTAGCATCAAACAGCAAAAAGAACAAAGGACAATAGTCCCACTTCACGGAACACAGTAACACAAACATCCTGCCTTTGTCACTTCCCACTCTGTGGAGTCAAAACATATAGACAACAATCACATAACTGCAATTACGGAGCAGGAATTCTAACAATTACATGAAAATAATTTATCTCTCTTGGTGGTTCAGCCTCCCCCCTGCCCAAAGCAAAAATGTTAATGTTGGTGGAAGTGTTGGTTAAGTTGTTCTGTGTTCTGTATGACACACTTCAGTTTGACTAGCTGAACACTAGCCATCACGTAATGGATCACCTGGGGTGAATGGTTATCTGTAAAGGCATATAATTAATAAATGTCATTTGCCCCCTTCCTTCCTTCCTTCCTTCCCTCTTTTGTTTTCCCCACTGCCTGTTTTGAATTGGCAGTTCCTAGGCAGTTGCCTGGGTCCTTCTCTGAAGGTGGGCTTCCATCAACAGAAGAGCTTTACTGGATTGTTGGATGTTTCGTCACCGTCTGTTAGTAGGCAGTCTGTTTTAGAGCTGGACTTCATTCAACTGTGTATGGCAACAAATGATAATCTGAATTGGGCAAGAATGATAATAATACTTATAAAGGCAATGCTTCTGAATATACAATCAATTTGTTGTGTTCCTAGATCTTGTAACTTTTGCAGACACATGTAGAAAGGCCGGGGGGGGGGCACTGTTAAGGTAAACACATTATCTTCAGTGGGTCTGGCTGTTAACCAGAAGGTTGGTGGTTCAAGCCCATCCAGGGATAACTGTGGGCACAATTCCTGCATTGCAGTGGGTTGGACTAGATGACCCTCTGGATCCCTTCCACATTATAATTCTGTGATTCTGTGTTTTCTCTTCCATAGGAAGCTGTGTTGAGACCAGTCTTGGACTGCATTGAACTTAGCAGCGGTGACGAAGACGGTAGCAGTTCTTCTAATGTGAGTGTTCCCTACCGTTTAAAATTGTTGGACAAGAGTTTTCTTTGGAATTACTCCATTCTGTCTGTCTAAGTTTGTATCACTTGAAGGGGAGTACACATGGTTCAAATATATTCTTATTTTATCTATAAAAAGAGCTCTTGAGATGATTTTATTTTTCTTTACCTGTTATATTTGTATATTGCACATCTAACCAATTCTCTGGGGAGTTTACAGAAGCAATAAAACACAAACTAAAACTTGAAGTAAAAACACTAAAAGCTAAATAACTTACAAAAGCAGAAAGCCCAACAACACAAAAAAACAACCCCTCTATGTAAGATCAGAATGGAACACAACAGCTAAAACAATTAAAACCAGCATAAACCACAGCAAGGAAAAAAACTGATGTAAAAACTGAAGCATCCAGTAGATTGCGATAAGAAGGCTTGAGACAACATGGAAATCTACCTGGTGCATAAATTATCATAGACAACCCAGATAAGGTTGTCTGGGAAGGTATTCTGTAAGCAGCGGGCCGTCTCCAAAAAGACTTTCTTGCTGGTAGCTAGCTGCTCACCTGGAAGATTTGAAGCGAAGGCTTGGAAAAAATGTTCCTTTATCACCACTGCAAATATTTTATATGTCTGTTTCGTATCCAATTGTTAAACAGTATTTAAATTCAAGCTGCAGATCCTGAGGAAACTAAGAGCAGATTCGTGCATTCTCTGTGCTTTTTGTTTTTATACATTTATTCCATGTGGGTCTTTGATGGCTTATATTGAACCCTTGTGAATGGGTTTTTATCCTTGTGAATGTTTTTATCCTTGGCAACCTTTTGCTAAAGAATTATTCTCCCCTCCCCCCGGTACATTGTTTGGGGGTTTTCCAGACCCCTGGAACCAACTAGGGGTGAGCAAGTAGAAAGTCTACACTTTCTACTGACAGGACTCATTAGCTGAATCCCAACCATGATGCCTAATTCAGTACTTAACCTATGCCAGTAGGGTCACCGGCAACTGGTGTTGTGAAGTACACTTAGTGGCTGTTGTTAAATCAGGCTCATCCCTCAAACACTAACAATGCTGTGCAATTTACATTGCATCGTACTTGAGCCTCCTGACACATAGCGACTAAGTTGAATATGACATCCTCAACCTCCTCAACATCTGAGGGAACAAAGCATTAAGCAATAGCTTTTGTGAGGTAATGGTGTCATCTGCCTAAGAGTAAAACCTCAGAAGCTGGGGAAGCCCAAGTAAAGAAGGGCTGAAGGAAAACAGCGGGCTTTCTTCAGATGGCAGATGTAAGTTTCTGAGAGACAGATGATCACTTTGAGAATTTATTAGGCTGGGCCTGGATCAGATAGATTTATTCTGACTAAAGAAAAACTGAGGAGGGAACTGGATATTTATGCCCAGTGTGTTATTAATACCTTTCAGAGGAAGGGAGCCAGTGTCTTGAGTTGGTGTAAAAGGCTGTCCTCTGCAAAGGTCTTACCAGAAGATCACGACTCGTGTGGATTTTAATAGTTGGTTAAACTGTCCAAGCAGCCAAGAATACAACCAGAGGAGTTTTAGGGATTGTCCCCAGTTGTGAGAGCATTTGGCTGGGGTGGAAGTTTAGGCAATTTGGCCTGAGGTTAAAGCCAATTAGAAGCGGATGTCAGCAAAGGTGTTTGTTGAATCTTCAGAAATTGTCAACAAACACTAAATTCCCAATCTCTCTCTCTCTCTCTCTCTCTCTCTCTCTCTCTCTCTGTGTGTGTGTGTGTGTGTACACACTCTTTAATAAATCAGCTGTCTTAATTAAATGGTCATACTGTCTTTAATGTTTGCATCCATCTTACACCTAAACCGACTATAACAGCTGCTAGGAGGTTTTTGAAAGCATTGTGAGTTAATTAATGGCATCTGAAAGTTAAAGAAGCATAGATACCTTAAACCTGTGTTTGTATAAACCTCACTTTGTATAGAGGTTGAAGAAACCAGTATCCCTGACAGGTGCCATGTGAACAGTACAGAACACAGCATATAAATACTTTTTTAAAAAGAGTGTAATGAGAGTTGTTTTTTAAAAAATAATAATATCTGAACCCATTTTTGCGTCTGTTAGAAGATGGTGTAGCAATGGTCTTAAAGTATGCATCCTCTTACTTAGGTGTTTGAAGAGTTCTCTTGACTGGTGTCTAGAAAATGCCTCGGATGCTTTTAAGCATGCATTTTCCCCAAGACTTTTATCCCAAGTTCCAAATGGTGGCAGACGAAATAATTGCCCCCATCCCCAGCCCTTTGTAGTGGATGATAAGATGTTGCTATTGAATTGTCTGGCAATTTGTGGCAGATGGTAATATGGGAGAACTTCTCTTCATTTGTAGGTAAATGCAAAACGCAAAGACTACATCGATTATCAGAAGGAAAAGGTTGCTTCCACACTAGACCGCTTGGCACGTCATGTAGAGGTAGAGAAACAACTGAAAGAAGAGAAAAATAAAGCTTTCAAGGTATGATTTTTATTTTTACAAAAAACAATGAGGGATTATCATCCAGGTTTTAAACCACTGTTTGGCTTCAGCTGTTATTTCCAAAGCAGAGCTTGTTTGTTTTTAAAAAAAGATTAAATGGCCTATGTTGGATAATGTTTCCAGCTAGATTTTTCTCTTCTGGTTCCAAAATATCTTGGTAAGCACCCTCCCTCATTAATCCTTGAACCTGGTTTCATGCTGCCATTGTGTCCAGTCTAGAACATTGTGTCCACCGGTACTCATTAGTCCTTCCCATGAGTTCAGCCTCTCAGTAACTACTGTACATTTGTTTATGTAGTACATTGCCAGGTTGTGCTCTTCCACATTTCCCTCAGTGCTCTACTCTTTCTGAAACTTTATAGTTACTTGGATCAGTTGCTGTTTTTTATTATTTTAATGACCACATGCTATGGTTCATGTGCGGTCGTGATGGCTGTGGCAGAAAGCGCTAATGAGGGTGGACCTTGTGGTCCTGTTTTCCAGCATTTCCTCTGCACCTATGAAGCCTGAGGCTTTAAAGATGGGAAGTTGGCATGCTTAGGAATATATGACTGTATCCGTTTGCCTCGGGTAAATCTGTCCATGTTTTTTTGCTGTTAATCATTGTGGTAAATATAGCATGCAGGCTTCCTAGCCTGTTAAGGTAGCCTTTTCCAAATGACTTTTTGTTCTAGGGTCAGGTTCTGGCAAACAAGTGTTGACCCCTCTCTAAAATTCAGCCAGCACAGGCTATTGGGGATTCTGAAAATAGATAGTGGTTATAATACGTAAAACTACTCATCTCACAAATAACTGCAGAGACCAAAGAAGTAGTTCAGTTCAGTTCAATTTAGTTTACTGTGTTTTAGCAAACAGCCATTACACTAATAATAATAATAATAATAATAATAATAATAATGCTACTATTCCCCAACCTTTCGAGGACAAATTATTTCCCATGCCCTCCTTCAAATTTTGTTACAGGAGTTTGTAGAGCCTTAGTAAGAAATGTGGGTGTTCTGAAGGATATATGCTTCTTTACATCAGAAAAAAGAAAACAGGTCTTTGCAAGAGATGGCCTTCCCTTCTGTGATCTTAACAATGGGTGGATGTAGTTGTTTCTAAGATTGTTATAAAAAGAGCATCCAAGGAGTACAAAACATATACCATAGTTTTCCATGTATAAGATGAGGGTTTTTATATTATTATTATTTAAAAAAAAATGTTCCAAATTGGGGGTTGTCTTATACACGGATAGTGCAGAGGGGGGACGAGCGTTTGATTGCAGCCACGAGCAGGAGATTGTAAGCGGTGATTTGGAGGGTGATTGGTGGCTGCGTCAAGGGCTGCTGTTGATTGGCTGCCGCTGCATCAATATGGCGGGCAATCGGCAGCGAGCAGGCAGACAATTGTTGGCTTTGTCGACGTGTGTGACTGGCAGCGTTGGTCAGGCGGGTGAGCGATTATCACAACCCCCCCCCCCAAAAAAGAAAGCTCAACAACTGTGGGCAACCCCCCCCCAATTTTCTTAATTTGGATTCCCCCCAAAATAGGGTTGTCTTATACACGGGGGCGTGTTATACACAGAAAAATACAGTACCTTGTTGAGGAACTGGCAACGCTGTAGTTCAGTGGTGGATCTGCTTTCCATGCAGAAAGTGCCAGATACAGTCTTAGGCATCTCTAGGTGGGGCTGAGAGAGGCACCTTGTCTGAAACTTTGGAGAGCCGCTGCCAGTCAGTACAGCGAATGCTTTGAGCTTGTATGTGTATATATGCTTTTCGTATTGGCGGTAAATCAGTGCAACTAATTGCACACGCTGTCTTCCGGCTGCTGGTACCATTAGGAAAAACTGGATTTGCAACATGCTCACGGACTGCAAGAGCTGGAATTTATCCAGGGACATAGTGACACAGAAGCAGCAAGGCAGTGCGTGAACCAGTGGCTGAAAATGCCAGGTAATGTATTGGTACTGTTGTTTCACCATTCAGAGGGATGCACAGTTCTTCTGGGTGAATAGTTCTACCTTAGTTACAGTCGATCGCTTCTCCCTTTCAGACACATGTAGAGGAGTAAGCAAGGTATGGGTAGCCTTCACAGGAGAAACATGGGAGGTGTTTGAGCTTCATCCTTTTCTTCCATACAGTGATTGGGAAGTTTTGGCTCTCCAGCTGTTGCTAGACAGCAGCTCCCATCACCTCCCTGACCATTGCCTATTCTGGCTGGGACTAGCGAAAGTTGTTGCCCAACAACTGGAGGGTTGCAAGTTCCCCATCACTGCTGTAAGGAGATGCTGTAGCTTAGTACATTTGATATATTAAGAAGTATGTCCTATCTTTCCTCCTAGAAGAGCCTGGGGCAGCTAAATGCTTACATAGCACTTTCTGGATATGCAAAGCACTGCAGATGAGGAGCCCAAGCTCCACTCACTGTGCCTGCAGCTAAAGAATTGTTAGCAGCAGGGCTGAGGGGTGTGTGTGTGTTTGGCAGGCTTGTTCTTCAGAGCCTCTTTTCCCTGTGTAGTCCTGCCTACCCACCCTAGTCTTTCTTAGCTCTGGTAAGTTTCATCATGTGGAACAAGCCAACCTAGGAATGCAGAATTACTTCACTTGCTGTGACTGGGCGCTCCAGGATGTCACCATGAGGCATCCATAGCCACATCTTACGGGAACCACTCAGCCACTGCTCACCTCATTCATCCGTGCCGGCAGATTCCCTTGGATTGGGGTGGCAGGCCTCCTGTTAGCCCAGTGTCAGGAATGGGTGTGTTGCTGTGTTCTTTCCATTCCTTGAGGTTCACATATTCACGAGTCGAGTTTTGTGCTGGATGAAAAACGAGGGAAAGCTTTAGTGAGGGCAGTATAGTCATCAGTCTCATACGTTTTAAACAAAAGAAGCAGTGTGACGTTGCAGCAGTGTGATCTGTTTTCTAACCTGTCTTCGAGCATCAACTACATGATATATTAAGTATTTTTGTTTCACGTTGTAGGTCTCAAGCCAGGCACTGTAAACTCTGGAAGGAGAGCATTACCTCAGAGATCAGACCAAATACAATCTGACAGTAAATCCATTGTATGCCCAATAATGCATTGCTACAGAAAATTTGACAATAGGCATCTTCTCCTGGGCCACCTTCAGAGGTACGAGTTTTTTAGTTTGATCAGGAAATAGGTTGTCAGACTGCCTGAACATGGGACACGGTATTTTACAGGTAGTCTCAAATGTGCAGTGCACTGATAGTTGCTCTGCAGAAATTTTATGCCTCTAGAAGCCAGGAAATGTTCAGTTTTGCAAGTATATTCAGACTTCACATATGTTTTAGTAAACAGGTTTTTTTCTAAACCTGTTGTTGTTGTTGTAATGGGCAACCTCTAAAGGTCTTCTTATTGTTCATATGCATTATTTAATCCTGCAAATTTATTTCCTTAGGTTTGATCATTCTCCATGCGATCCATCAATTACACTACATGGATGTCCAGCTGATGCATTTGCCTGCATAGTCTGCAATAGAAGATTCCCCACGTCTCAACTATATAATGAGCACGTTTCTTCTAAGGCAAGAATTTAAGGAAATGCATGTTTTCACAAAAGTAGCAGGAAAAAAATACCTCCCCTCAGAAGAGTTCCATTTCATAAACTCGTACGCAAATCTTTGCAGGGATTTTACTGCTCAGGGTTGGCTTTTGATAATTTTTCAAATCCAGAGGGGGAAAAAATCTGCTGCTTGTAGGTGGTTGTGGCTCATAAATGGAGCAGGTATTAGTTGATATATTTTGAGATATGCTTTTAGTATTAAGAGCAAATTTCCATAGCATCTTATAGAAAATGTTCTTCATAATGTTGGAAAACAAATGTTCTCTGTTTGTCTAAAATTGAGTTATTGTTTTGTTTCTTCCCACCCCCTCAAGGCAAGTGAAGGTGATGGCCATGAAAAGAAATACCCTCCTCAGCATATTCAGTGCTTTGCATGTCCATGTTGCTTTCTCCTTTTTAGCATGAGAGATGAGTGTCTGCAGCATATGTCTGAAAAGAATCACTTCTCTCAGGCTTTTAAACTCAGTGGTATGTCTCTTTTGAAATGTATATATTTTTCCATCTGAAATGACTGGATACTGCATGATTTGAGGGGGAATGTGGTAAAATACATTGAAATTTACATCACTGATCAAGATGATAATGTTACTTTAAGGAAGTGTCCTTAGCTCCATGCCAAGTATGCTGAATCTGCTTTCTAGAATGCCTTCATTCCCCACTTCCTTGTGCATTGCCACCAATGCAAATTCTTCCCAGACTCTGTAAGCTAAGATGGGTTTTATTCTTCCTGAACATTTCAAGTAAAAAGATTTGGCAGGTCAGATAAGACTTTCAAGGTTATAAACAATTTCCTGTGTTGCTCATGCAAGATAACTAAAATGTAAAACATAATGTGGCTTATGTTGGACAGAAAAGAACCTGAAGCTACTATATAGAACAGCACAATTTGATTTAACTACTTTTGCTAGTCAGATAAAACAAGGACATATATATATATATAAAACACGTTGCCAGGGAAGGTTTTTTTCCCGGAGCAATGATTGTCCTCTATAGTGTGGCTGAGGTGTATGGTATTGTTCCCTCTAGTATGCAAGGTCCATAATATATGTATATATTATATATATATATTATATATATATATATATATATATATATATATATATATATATATATATATATATGAATGATACTGCTTAAAATTTAGGATATTTCTGGGTACAGCCATATGATGGGTGCCTTTCTGTAACTTGGTTTCTCAGATTATATCAAAGTAGATTAGTTTTGCCCTTCTTCCTGGCAGCTAATAAATTTTGAAACGAGTGCAAAGCAACTAAACAGCTTTAAAAAACCCTGTCTCTGCACTCCTGTCCTGACCAGTCTAAACATAGTAGGACCAAAAAATCACTCTTGCAACACTTCTGAAAAATGCTCAGATTTGATTGAGTGTGTGACATTTCTCAGGAACCAAGTGGTGTTTGTTAGCTCGTTCTTAACTGCCTGGTCTTGGTGCATTGTTGACATGATTCTCTTACTTGAATCATTTGTAACCTTTGATTCTTCTCCTTTACCACCTAATTGTTCCTTGAAGTAAGTTTTGCATGTTGACTGACTGGAAATGGACAACAGGTTGCAACAAACACTTAAGTCAAGGGACGGGGAACCTGTGGCCATCTAGAATCCATGTTGTTGGATGCCCAACTCTGGTCTGCAGATGGTTAGGATTGGTGGAGCATCACTGCTCTAGTGTGATGTGGCCTAGATGCCACCAGGACATGCTTGCTGTGCGCCACCCTTCTCTGGTGCTGCACTCGACTCTACGTTGGAGGAGGGGGACACCAGCATGTGGGTGACCTTCCTTTTGGGAAGTGAATAATGTCTGGTCCTTTCTGACTCAGTGATACAAATAACTCTGTGCATTCCGTTGCAGATAAAGCAACACAACCACAACCTTTGCCATTCCCAACTTATGCAAAGAATCTTCTGATCTCCTTGTGCAAAGAAATCCCGTTCCAAGTGAAGTGCACATCCTGCCATCAGGTGTTGCGTTCTCATGTGGAGCTAACAGCACACTTCAGGTCTGTTGAGAGCCTTCCTGCTTGTAGAATGGGACTCCTTTCTCTGTTTCTCCTTTAAACATTTGTTGGGCAACAAGCCTACTTTCAGTTCTGACATGTATGCGCTCTTTCTCCATTCATGTTAAACATGGGAACGAAGACTAAAAAAGTGGCCTCAGTGGCCCTGAGTCCTTTCCATCAACTTTGGCTGATGGCCCGGCTGGACAGGGACAGCCTAACTACTGTCGCCTGTGCTCTGGTAACTTCCAGGTTAGATCACTGCAACATGTCATATGTAGGGCTGCCTCTGAAGACGGTTGGGAAACTTCAGCCGGTGCAGAATTTGGTGGCCAGGTTGCTTACTGGTTTGAGCACATTACACCAGCCCTGGTCTGACTGCACCGGCTGCCATTAGTTTCTGGGCCCAATTCAGAGTGCTGGTTTTAACATATAAAACCTTAAACGGCTCAAGACCTCAAGAACCGCCTTTCTCCATATGAGCCTACCCAGACCCTGAGGTCATCATCTGAGGCCCTTCTTGGTGTGCCTCCTCAGTGAGAGGTCTGGAGAGCAGCAACACAAAAACAGGCCTTTCTGCTGTGGCTTCCCACTTATGGAATGCTCTCCCCAGGGAGTGTCGCCTGGCGCCTTCATTACATATCTTTAGGCATCAGGCAAAAAATATTCCTCTTCTCCCAGGCCTTTGGCTGATTGACATCTGATGCCCTTCTGAATGTGTTGTGGGAGAGGATGTTATTGGTTTGCTTTTTGTTTCGTGTGTGTGAGTGTGTATTTTTATGTTGTGAACCATCCCTGACATCTACAGATGATTTAATAAATTTAATAAATAAGATAAATAATGTTAACTGTAGTGCTGAACTGTCTTCGCTGCTGGGAAAATAGCAATGTCCCTAAGTTGTTGTCGGCACATTCCTGTCCTTAAAGGCCTAGGAAAGAGGTAGGGAATCTTTCAGCCCAAGAGCAACCTTCCCTTCTCGAGGCAACATGCCAGTAGCAAGTGGAGCCAGAGGCAAAAGTGGGCAGAGGAATGGCTATCAAGCATTACGCTTCTACAGTGAACTTGTTCCTACCCACGCTCACACATCCTTCTCTAGCCAGGCAACCAAGAGGCCTGTTCAGTGACACATTCCAGCGGGGCAAAAACACCCCAGTAGGGTCTGAAGCACTGCTGGCCAGGCATGTGGCCTGGGGAGAGTCCCAGGGGCCAGATAGTGAGGCCTGGAGGGCCTAAGATACCTTCCCCCTGGGCTGAGAAGACAGAATCCTGTGCTTCTACCAGCTGCCAGCCTTGGCTTTAAAGGGCTTTGTCTGGTATCTGGGGCATTGCCACTGCAGAAGAGGCAGATTTAGGAGACAATGACTGGCAGTGGCCTAGTGTCATTCATCCCCTGTTTGTTTGGAAGGCTGGGTTTTTTTTAGACCATACTGATTTTTATTTTATTTTTTTGGTAATGCGCAGCTAAGTAGGTATTACAATGTCCTTTCCCATTTTAGAACTCGTTGTCGTGATGCTGGCCCAGTGACTCTGTCAAAGAAGCGCATCTGCCAAGTCGCCGAAGTATTTAAAGCCAAAGGTTTCTGTCACACCTGTAGCGAGCTGTTTATCAACGACACCCATATCCGTCAGCATATTTCCAAAACCCTACACAAGGTTAAAGTTTTCACCACGATGGAAGAATCCATCTTGACAGTATGCCATGTCAACGAAAGGAATAAAAGTGCCTCTCATCTACAGAAGAATAGCAGCTTTTTAAAATCTTCTCCTCTGAAGAGACCTTCGGACTCGATTGAATCCGTTGGTGATGAGAGGAAAACAGTTTCAAAACGAATAAAGGATTCGGAAGGCAGAAGCCAAGAGGTTAGCAGTGCTCCAGCCGTCAAAACCTGGGTGTGTCAGTGTGAGCTGGCATTTCCTTCTGAGGAGCTGGTAGAAAACCACATTTTTTCCGAGAACAGAATCTGCCGCAAATGTGCAGTGTGCGGCAAGCTTGCGGAAAATGCAAGCGTCATCCGTTTGCACATGAGCCGGTTCCATGGAGGAGCTCACTTGACTAATTTCGTCTTCTGGTGTCAGGTCTGCAGTGTAGCTCTTCAGAAAGTAGATGACGTTAAGGCCCATGTGACAGAATATCATGGTGTGCACAGCTTTTACCGTGAGGATGCTGCTGCTGCTGAGGATGCTACAACTGAGGATGCTACAGCATCTTCTGGTGCACTGTACGGTAGTTCACTTGAACAGAAAGACCGAACTCCTAGCCCTATGGAGCAGTCTCCACCTTTGAGCCCCATGGATGTGTCAGTGTCTCACCAGTGGCAGTGCTGCATGTGCGAGGAGCTCTTTGACTCTGAAGACAGCGTGAAGCAGCACTGTGTGTCATTAGAGAGCCACCACTTCCACAGGTACAGCTGTGACTTGTGCAAAATGACATTCCGGAAGAACGAAACTTTCCATCGACACTGTCAGGATAAGCATAACGGTGTCATAAAGGTCAAATACTTCTGTGGCTTTTGTGGCGACCTGTTTTTTGATGCCGAGGAGAAGTTCTTGCTTCACTTCAAGGGCTTCCATAGCACAGATTACATATGCGTGTCTGAGGAAGCGGGGACATCGATCAAGAGTACCGAAATAGTAGAAGAGAGCAATCGTCTGAACTGTGGTTGTCGGGAGAAATACTTTAGCAAAGAGAACAGGAAGGCAGATTACAAGAGGTGTCAGAAGGCCTTGCTGGAGAAGGGCAACTTGTGGTTCCGTTGCACCTTGTGCTCCTCAACAGCGCAGAGCTTTCCTGACGTGATGGCTCATCTCATGACACACTCGGAGCAAAAACCTGACCAAGAATTGTACATTGTGAGGTGTGGAGCATGCAACAAAAACTTCAACGATATTGGAGTTGCCCACCAGCACTTTCACAGCAAGCACTGCTTCCCACAAAAGCCCCAGCTAGCCCCAACTCAAGCAGGAAGTGACGTCTTCCAGATTTCCTCCGGTGGATCCTGTGTAGACAAAAAGCCTGAAAACCTAATGCTTTCGGAAGACAAGACTGCAGCAAGTGCTTCAGAGAAGAGGTGGCCAGGAGAGCTACCCAAGGAGCAAGTTAAGAAGCCACATTCTGAAGGGTTTGGCGTAGGTAGGTAGAAACCATGGTATACTTTGGATGCCCAAACAAATATGGCTGCTCAAACAAATATGGCTGCTGAGAGAACCTTGCAGAACAGCTGGGGCTTGTCAACACTTTGCTTGCCCTGTGCCTGGAAAGCACGGGTCCAGGAGGTTTTCCACTTGTCGCTCACAAAACCCGATTGCTGTTTGGTTTGATTCAGCAGTAAACCACAGGTTTTTTGGGTGGAGGGAAACGGAAATGTTGGCGAGCCCTTGGTTAAACTGAACATGTAGTATTTCATAGCCTCGGCAAACTCTGCTTATATAATTGTTTCCATAGTGGTACACGTATTTAGTCTTGCACCCATTCTACGTCATCAATGACAATTTTTCTAGCCATGTGAATAAGAAAGGCTTAGGAGATTTTTGGTAGTTGTTTTTGAAGGAAAAGAATGCGTTTGTTGATACCCTAATTGTGAAATGGCTACAGGACAGTAAAATCTCAGGCGCTGTGTGGAAATTCATTTTATTCAGTAGACTTTCATCATGGCATTGTTTTGTAAATAATTTCCCCAGCACCTGAGAGCCCTTCTGTATTTGTCTGTATTCCTCCTCACTGTTTACAATTACGTTTGGGCAAGTAATCATCTAAATCCAAATGCAAGCTGCATAAAAACAAGCAGAACCTCATAATGAAAAATGTTGAAGTTAGTATAAATTTGCTGAAGGCGGTACCCTATTGAGTATGTATGAATTACTTAAATTGCAATGAATTTTTAAAGAATTTGATGTGCTATGTTTTGAATTTTTCTGAAGTACAGATTTCTACAGCTGAGGAATCCGTATAATGTTTGTTATGCTTCCTTCTTCTTCCCTTCCACCCGACTATGTAGATGACAGAGATCTACCTGATCTTGATTACTTGTGTACCATGACTCATATTATTATGATGGATTTGGATAACTGGGGAAACCTTTTCCATCAGTTGCCTGCTACCCTTAACCAAGGAACTTTTATCTGGGGTTTTCAAGGTAAGGAACTCGTTGGCAGTGCAAACTTTCCCTTGATGCACACTGTATAGCACATGTGAGTCAGGTAATCTACAAATGTAGCAGCATACATTCACACAAGTTCATGGCATATAGCATTCCTAATTCAGGCAAGGTGTGTTAATACTGGGCTTTTAAGCCCTGAAGGACATAGTTGACAAGTACTTGAAGTGCTTCCCCCAAAATCGGTCAAACCCAAGTTCTTGAGATCTGTGGCGGAGGCCCTGTTTGCTATAACCCCCCCCATTGCGTATGATTCAAGAGGTCCCTACACACAGCAGGGTCAGCTTAATAGCAGCACCTTGTCTGTTGAACCACTTCCCAGCACAGATCCAATGGTCCCCCACACTGTGTTAATTTAGGTATCAGTTTAACACCCACTGGATGCTGCATTTGTCTGCATTTACAGTGGTACCTTGGGATGCAAACGGAATCCATTCCGGAGCCCCATTCGCATCCCGAAGCAAACGTAACCTGTGTCTGCGTGTGTGCAGGTCACGTTTTGGCGCTTCTGCGCATGCACATGACGTCATTTTGATGGTCTGCGTGCGCGGCAAAACCCAGAAGTAACGCGCTCCGTTACTTCTGGGTCACTGCAGAGTGCAACCCGAAAATGCTTAAACCGAAGCGTATTCATCCCAAGGTATAACTAGTAAAAATGTTGTAAGTGATGTCTACCTGAAAACAGTTGAAATGAGGATCGACCACCTTTTATGATGTTAGGCGTAGCTCAGTCCTTTGCCCATTACTATGGGAGCATGTTTTGCCGCACAAATTAGCAAAAGTTACAAAGCTGGAGCATGTATAGTACATTGCATATATCAACCATGTGCAATTTAGAGTACCCACTTCTCAGAAACATAATTAGTATTTCACAGGGTTTGTGTTACACACACACACACACACAAACACTTTTAAAAAGTAACTGTCTATTCCCTTGTCTAGTCCCTCGAATCTCTTAACAGTGGCTGTCTTCTGGTTTACTGCTTAGGTGGGCACAACAACTGGAAGCCACCTGTGAACTGCAAGATTTTTAACTACCTTAAGAAAATCGGGTGTTTCTTCCTCCATCCACACTGTGGTACAAGGAGAGAGGCTGCTGACTTTGCAATCTGTGTGCATGTAAGTTTTCACGCACCTGTGCTGTGATAAGATGCAAAGGAAATATTTTGCGTTAGGGTGTCAGTTGCTGGCATTCACCGAGAATCCTATCACAGTGCAAATATATAAAAAAATTATTTCATAAAACGTATATATCTCTTGATTGTAAAAAAGCACATACACAACAATGTGTTTTACAATGTTTGGGCTAAAGAATGTTCAATCTTGTCTACCTACACAATCTGAAATCCTCTCACTAAAGAAATTGTATGCCCATTGTCTCTCTGCCTCGCATAATTCATGTTTTGTTCCATAGGTGGGCCGCCTGGATGAGCATCTACCAAAGCATATTCCTTTCACTATTCTTTCGGGAGACAAAAGCTTTCTAGAGCTTGAGGATCAGCTTAAGATGACTCAGCGGACAACTCGGATTCTAGATCCTCATAAGATTGATTCCGATATGATGTATGCCTTATTGAACAGCATTTCAGATACAGCCAAAGGTATCCTTTCTAATACGTTTATATATACAGCCTAGGCATGCATTGCCTGGTGGAAGCTACTTCCAGGATTGAGGTGAGGAGAGGCAACCTGTTTACGTACTGTACTGCTTTAGGAATAATTCCTCATCAATAGATCACATAATTAAAAATAATAAAATAAAATTTTATTTATATTCCGCCCTCCCCAGCCGAAGCTGGGCTCAGAGCGGCTAACAACAGTAAAATAATACAACATTCTAAAATCATTCTAAAGTCCACTTGTAACTTAGTTTAGTTGAACTAGTTTGCAGGGGCTCTACAGTATGGGCCAGCCACTAGGAAACAAAAAAGTAATGGAGGCAAAATAAAGAATATAAAGCCCGTTAGTGAGCAATGTGTTTATGCTCTGTTTAAGGAACAGCCTATGACAGGGATGGGGAAGGCTTTTGGCCCAGGAGGCCAGATCTTTTATCTTGCCCTACTAATAGCGAGCCAGCATGGACAGGTGTACTGGACCCCTCACCTGTCAGTCAATCTTGTGACACGATGACGTCCTGTGATTGGCACCCATCACAGTGCAGTGTTTCCCAAATATTCAACAAACATCACGTTGCCATGTGTGTAGAAGGCACGGCACAAGGGCTTTGAAAGCCCTCTACTTGGCACTTGGAAAGTTCTGAGTACAGGACTTTCAATGTACTTTGCACAGCGCTTCTGAAGCACCGGGTGGTTGTTGGGCTTTGGGTATTGCTATGCAGAGCAAACCACTGCAGAGTTCACAATTTGCTACATAACGCATAAGAATTTGGCTCATATTTTACTCTGAGAAACGTTTCCTGGGGTCGAGGTAAATTTAGGAGCTAGAGCTAATCCCAGAGTCCTCTCTCCCACTTTTTCCTACAATGGCTTATTGTGCAAAATAAGTCACGGTTGCCTCATTTTAGATTTGAAGCAGTGGCGCACCAACCTCAACATTGTCTTCGATGCTCCTTATTATTTAATCACTTGATCTGAAGCAGTTTTGTTTTGGAAGATCAGTGGGAATTCAAGACAGTTGCATCCCCCTTTTGCAGCATGGAAGTTGCTGCAGCATAGCTCATTCCTAACCTGCAAAGGAAAAGTCTAAAGGTGTGCACTGCAAGATCTTATGTTTAGGGATTTAGTTCTGTTTCACAGAAAGCCAACAGGAGCTTCATGTAAACCATTTTTTTGAGTTCAGGTGCAGCACCCTAGAGATCAAATTATGCTAGTCCTGCCTGTATAAGTGAGTACAGAATATCTTGAATTGAGATTTTAGAGGGTTCAGGGGTCTCTTTATGAAATACCGTATTTTTTGCACCGTAACACTCACTTTTTTCCTCCTAGAAAGTAAGGGGAAATGTCTGTGCGTGTTATGGAGGGAGGCATGCCTACAGATTTTCCTCCTCTAAAAACTATGTGCGTGTTATGGTCGGGTGCGTGTTATAGAGCGAAAAATACGGTACATTTCTGTTGTTGATGTACTTTGTAAAAATGAATCACTGTTGTTGAAAAGCTTATAATTTGAGTCTTCCCTGTTTGCTGTTCTGTGCAATTGTTATGGGGGTTAAAGTATGAAAGCCACATGCAGGTTTCATCTATTTTGTTGCATGTTCAGTTCTGTAAAGTAATATGAACTTGCAGTTGAGTGTTGGCATGGATCTCATGTTCTTTTCCTACATGGAAATCAAGTTGAAGGGTGGCTTTTAAAGGACATTGCACTAATGGGAACGCATTCCCAATTTCTTTGCCATCCATTTTGCTAAGCTACCTCGGTGTGGGTGTGAAGATAAACCTCTGTTTTGGTTATATGTTGCACGCTGTTTGAGGGTACTGGGTTTTGAAGTGAGGAAGGAAAAGTTATGACAGCCAGGTTTTACCAATCAACAAAACTCTGAAGAGGAAAGCTAGTTGTGAGAGCTATGGTATTGCATAGTTAGTTCTGTGTGTGTCTTTTTACAGAAAATGAAGTGGTAGATACTCGAATGGCAGTGGAGCAGGTTTCAGAAGTAACAAAGGACCAAAACGGTATGTTAATTTCGCTACAAGATGCTTATTCAAGAGATGAAGTGGCCGTAGAAAATTAGATTTGGCAATATTATCAAACAAGGAAGAGCCTAGAAAGCTTTTCCCCCCAGTATATGTGCAAATTCCTGTACAGGCACCATGATAGAGAAAATTGGCTATAGCAAGAGAAAGGACTTTCCATAAAATGGGCCTTTGCTTACCATTTGAGACATGGATTTAGGCCTAGTTAATACAGTGCTTGCATGTTGGCCTTCAGAGGAGTGAGCCGGGTCGTCATGATACAACCGAGGATCTTATGGAGGCAATGGTTGTATGAACTAGCACCTTTGTGTGCGGGGGCATATATGTGGCCCCTGCAATTGTGTGAGCTGTCTTTCTAGAGCTGTTGCAATTGTGCACATTGTGACAGCCTTGTGTATAGTTCCTAGCTGAGGAGGTTGTATAAACCATTTGTGCCTGTTAGCCATCCCACATACCCCCAGAGGCTAACATCTGGTAGCTGCCAGCTATGTGAACAAACATTTACAAAAGTTAGAACTTGCTATAGGAAGGAGCATAGCTTGGTGGTGTCTGAGATCTACATGGCAGCATACAAATTTAATAAATAAACGAATAAAAGTGGTAGAGCACTTGGTTTGCGTGCAGAAGTTTCCAGGTTCAGTCGCTGGCTTCTCAACGTAAATTTGAGACTCCTTTGTGAAGAAGAAGAGTTTGGATTTGATATCCCGCTTTATCACTACCCGAAGGAGTCTCAAAGTGGCTAACATTCTCCTTTCCCTTCCTCCCCCACAACAAACACTCTATGAGGTGAGTGGGGCTGAGAGACTTCAGAGAAGTGTGACTGGCCCAAGGTCACCCAGCAGCTGCATGTGGAGGAGCGGGGAAGCGAACCTGGTTCCCCAGATTACGAGTATACCACTCTTAACCACTACACCACACTGGCTCTCCTCCAGGTGAAACCCTGGAGGAGCTACTGCCAGTCACCATAGCCACAACTGAGCTAGATGGACCCAGGGGTCTGACCTTTCTGCAACCACTGATTAGGAAGCGGTAGCCATTTCTTGCTTGAGTCAGTATTTCAGCTATGCATTTGTTTTGCAATTTTAAGTCCTGCTTCTTTAATGCAGATGCAGAGGAAGATGCAGCTTTTCAAGAGGCCATCAAGCGAAGCATGGAAGAGATGTGAAGATGGCTTGGTATCAGTGCATGAAAAAACATCTAAGCTGGCTCCCAAGTAGTTGAAATTTGTTCGTTCTATTACGACGATTAAAAAAAAAAGTACAGGTTAACATTTCACAGTCTCAATGCACTTTAAGAACTGAGCTCTACTGACACATCTAAGCATCATAAACTGCAGTGGAACTTGAGTACCCTTAACTGGATTTCAGTTATCCCACATATTTGTCTCGGTGATATGCAGTATACAGGTGTGGTATGGGACAGCATATTTAAGAGGCTCAAAAACGTAGTTCCGCTGCGTGACAGAATGGCTTAAGCTTTAGTTTCTTAAAACTATCTGTTTTGTAAACTAGGCTTGCCTTTTTTCCTTTATTCTTTCTCTTCTTCTCCCCTCTCCCCAGGCTTTCATGGATGTTAATGCTTCTTTCTTGTTGTACATGCATTTCTAGCATAAACATTGCAACAGATACATACTGAATCCTCATTTTCTTTTACTGTCTTACCTTAAGGGGAAAATTAAGTAGTACTGCAATCTCCAGTGCTCTGGCAAACTTGTGATGGGTCTCCACTGTGACTTTAAGAAGTGAAACTAATGTTTGAGGACCTGATTATTTCTTTCACCTTTATCTTTGTATGTAATTTATATATTTTGAGAGCGAACGTGGCACCAAACTGACTGGGCTATAGGTGTATATTATGCTTCCTGCCTTACTAATAGTACAGCAAATTATTTCCCCCCCCCCATGTTTTAAATCATCTTAATTCAGAAAGGCAAAGCCTTTCTACATTCCTACATGGTTAATTTATTGTGGTTATTTTTTGGAACATAATTTTGCGTTTGTGCATAATTAAAATATTGGTTACTTTTTACAGTATGTCCTTATTTCAGTCAAATGCCATTTGACTCATGCATAGACGTGTTGAATGCAAAAGATGGTAATTTTAAATCACTGTTTCTAGTGCAAGGTTCTTGAAGGACTGCTTTGGAATGACCATCTAACTTTGTGTTGCAGCAGTAAACTGCGCGCGCACAAACACACACAATATCACCCCATGAATACAATAAAAAAATGTCAGGAACCTTTAGCAAATTATCCTGATTGGGAAGGCTCACTCTTGCTAAGAAGGGTATTCCATATAGAGGCACACTGTTTTCATTAGTTTTCTAGGCTCCCACCTAAAAAAAAGTGACCTACCTTTAGAAGTATGTAACCTACACTCTGTAGGGGACACAGGTGGTGCTGTGGTCTAAACCACCGAGCCTTGGGCTTGCTGATCAAAAGGTCGGCGGTTTGAATCCCCGCGATGGGGTGAGCTCCCGTTGCTCTGTCCCAGCTCCTGCCAACCTAGCAGTTTGAAAGCACACCAAAAGCTGCAAGTAGATTAATAGGAACCGCTCTGGCGGGAAGATAAAGAGTGTTTCCGTGCACTGCTCTGGTGTCGGTGTTCTGTTGCGCCAGAAGCGGATTAGTCATGCTGGCCACATGACCCAGAAAAACTGCGGAGCGGACAAACACCGGCTCCCTCGGCCTGTAAAGTGAGATGAGCGCCGCAACCCCAGAGTCATTCGCGACTGCACTTAACTGTCAGGGGTCCCTTTACCTTTAACCTACACTCTAATGGGAAAACTTGAACATTTATTAATGGAGGTGCTCAGAATGTCTCATAACAGTTTCCTTTCTCTTTAAGGTTGAAAGGGTTATGCCTTGGCCTAGTAAGGATCACTTTTCTGGGCTGTTGGATCTGGAACAGTACAGTGGTACCTCGGGTTAAGTACTTAATTCATTCCAGAGGTGTGTACTTAACCTGAAACTGTATTTAACCTGAAGCACCACTTTAGCTAATAGGACCTCCTGCTGCTGCCGTTCTGCTGGAGCACGATTTCTGTTCTCATCCTGAAGCAAAGTTCTTAACCTGAAGCACTATTTCTGGGTTAGCGGAGTCTGTAACCAGAAGCGTATGTAACCCGAGGTACCACTGTAGTAGCTTGTACTATTCCTGGCGAATAACTTTCCCTGTTCCCACTTCTGCATTCCTCTGTAGCTAGCCAGTTAGCTACGGGCTCCCTCGATAAGCAGCAGGCCATGTTGCTACCAAGCTGATGTACTAGACTGCCAGTCGGATCCTGTTTTGAAACTTTATTAGGAGAATGGGTTGTAATACAACTTCCTTCAAAAATCACAACATACAATTTTTGCTCCTAATCTGTTGACGAAAATATTGGCATGTTTCTTGGGAGTCCACACTGGTTAGAGCAGAAACAGCTCTTGGATACTGTATATAACTTCCATGACAATGGCACTTCAGTAAAGTTTGGTGGTTGCCTCCCAGCCAGAGGTTGGTGGGCTGCAATTCTTGTATGCATGCTGACTATCTGTTCTTCAGGAAGAGCTCAAATGCACTTGATGTGCTTAACGCACTTTTCATCCTCAGAATTCTAAGGCGAAACAAAAAACCCTCATTTCAAAGGTGCAGCCCAAAAGTACGAAGAATCTGTTGCTTGTCTATGGTATTCATGCATTAGAGGGAGAGGCAGCATGATTCTCATTTCCCACCTTTTGACTCCAGTGCAGAACGCTCTGCTGCATTCCAAAAGCAAGGAAGGATTGGACTCTGATTAATAAAATACACACGAGACTTGACCAGCAAGACTCTAGGAGGCAGTGCGAATAATAATAATACTGTCCACCCCTTGGCCCAGGTCGCATTACTCACAAAAGAACTTTTACACAGCGTTCGTAAGAACCAATCAGATTTCCTCTGAGCATTTCAAAAAACCCCACATGGGGACAAAGCTAAAGTTAAAACTACAAAGAAACTATTTCCTACTTGAGCATGCGTACATAGTTCAGAGTAAATAAAATAGGAATCAAGGAGGAATGCTTTTAGCAAACTCCGGAGGTCATAAACAGCAGTAAACAGGAGAGGAAGGACAGGTAGTATTTACCATCCCCTTGTGAACTCTCTTCCTGGCCCTTAAGATTAACAAAATCAAGGAAAGGTACATCAAAGAAGCTACCTACTATCTATGACCCAGGATGCCTGGTGAAGCAACTGGCAACTGGTCTGTGTTTAGAAAGCTTATAAGTGCCTGTCAGGCGCAGAGAAAGCAAATGGCAGAGGTGCAGAGGCTTGTGGGATTTGATCAGAAATTATTGTCAATGAATCAAACCCAGTCAACGCAATGCTTTCATTGCTGACACAATGGCTTCCTCCATATTTCATAATTCCTCATAGTAATCCCACCTGATCACTACACGCTCTTAGCAAACTTGCAACGTACTATATTGTATGAAGAGCAAAGATCTGGTTTAGTAATCAGTTCTATGATAATGAACAAATCTGTTTTAAATCCTGCAATATATTCTAAACTTGGTATGACAGCCTTTTCACATGGTGACCGAGGAGCAGCCCCAGTGGTGGATATCTTCAGCAAAGAAGCCTATGCAAGCCTCTCCAAAGATGCTGAGGCTCTACCAAACGTGCAGATCATCGCATGAAGTCTCCTTCATGTGTACTGATGCACATACGGGGTGTGAATCTGTACATAAGATAAGGTTGTACAGAGTTACTCGTCAAGTTGTCGGAGTAAAAGATTTCTCAAAGCAAACCAGTTCAGGAAGTTTTGCAAACATTGGTCTGTTTCTTTCAGTTATTAGCCCAAAAATTAATGACAAGACATGATTAGAAATTTAGGCTCGGGGGGGCGGGAGTGATCTTGTAGCTTCTGTAGGATGAATTGCACGGTTGATATGCAGCGAGGGCACATTCATCTCTCAAAATGTTTTGATGAGCGCAATATGCAGGATGGTCACCCAGTTCACTTAGTTGCTGCTAGCTTGCTTTCTGTTCTTTTCACACCAGCCAAAACCGAGTACGTTGGGCATCTTTTTTTTATACCTTCTCTTACACAAGTACCCTTCTCAGGAAACGTTCAATGTTACTCAAAGTAATCAAAATAAAAACAGCCAAGAACCATACCAAGGTTGCAGGTTCAATCCCTGTATGTTTGTCATTTTGAAACTACAAGAGGTTAGCTAAATTTACCTGGATTTCTTCTTGTTCTGCTATAGTTGCTTTATCAGAAAGAATCCTACCAATGCCAGTCAACTCCTGCACCCCCTGCCAATTTAATTCCTTTTTGTTACTCGTGGAGTTTCCCACACTGAGTAATGCTTAGTATTGTTTTCTGCCATCTTGCAGGAGCCGCTTCATGTTTAAGAGGTAGGTTGATAAATAAAAGGAACATTTTGAAAGCAGATTTATCTTAATGAAATTTGTCCTAACCAGGAGATAGAGATGAGACCAACAGTTCCACAGTTGATATATTTTGTGGTTTCACTTAATTGTGGTTATGATATATCCAAATTTTAATGCCCAGTTATTTAATCAGTTGATCTTTTTAAAGATTCAAATATTTAGTGGTAATATCTACAATATCCTTTTGCAGATTTATGCTAAGCCACTCAGGTACAGTGTACAGTAATTTACCTTGTACCCTGAAACTATACTGCAGACTTTTATCTGTGGCCTTGCCTTTGGGTCCTTTTCATTGTGTCATGTGTTTTTAATGTAAGGTTTTGTGTTTTATGTGTTCTAAATAATATTTGTTTAAAATATATATTTTTTAAAATTGCTTTGGTCCTGCTGAAGTTTGTAATAAATCTTCAGGGGGTTCTCCCCCCCCCCCCAGGTGATTTGCCTTTTCTTTTTTTAAGGAGGAGGAGGGAAAAGAATTGAGAACAACTGCAGTGCAGTTAATGGGAGTAAAGTTTCTGTCAAACTTTTGGCTCCAGCTCAAGAGACTGCAGGGACTGCAGTGCCCCCCCCCCTTTAAAAAAAACAAAACCTACAGCCTCTCCACTTTAGGATATGCGTCAGGATGATGGAGAGAAAAAGGGTTAGCCACTTTCTCAGCAAGAGGGACACGTTTAGCTGAGCTGCGAAAGGAAAGCACCAAGAAGCATGTCCTTAATGGGAAGCAGGGATGGCGCCCCATGACGCTCCCACTGCAAGGCGCGAAAGAGGGCGGGAAGGAAGAAAGGAGGAGGGTTGCTGATCCAACACAAGGTCCCTTTGCCTAGTACGAAGACAAATGGCCCTTCTTCTAAGGCATTCATTTGGAGCCACCTCTCTCACCAAGGCTGGAATTATCTTTAAAGGGCTTCATTTAAACAAATACGAATGACACACCACTGGGCTTCCCTCACCCCTAGGGCGCAGCTTGAGCCACAGTCTCCATTTCCAGTGCGGAGACCAGCAGGCAAGGATAGAACGCGATGGGTTCTGGGAGGCGGCAGCGCCTCTGAACATGTGCAGAGCGCTTCCCGCCCCCTTTGCGGGCAGGGGCGGGGTGGGCCCCTCTTCTTCTAAGGGAGGGGGCGGCTCGTCTCCTTCTTTGGCGGCGCGTCGGGTGTCAGCCCTGCTGCAGTCTCTGCCTGCCTGCCTGCGGGGACGCTCTCCAGGCAAGCGGCGGGCGGGGAAGAAGCAGCACCGGGCGGCGGCGACAACGACCGTCTTGGCTCTCGCGGCCCGCCATGGCCCAGGCCAAGATCAGCAGCTCCAGGAGCAGCTCCAGCGTCGCCGAAGCCGGCGGCCAGCAGCAAGCGGGTGGGGGGCAGCTGCGGGGCCGCTTCTTCCGCTCCACCTCCATGGCGGACCGATCCAGCCGCCTGCTCGAGTGCCTGGACCAGCTGGAGAGGAGGTAACACCCGCCGGGCTCGGCTAGGGAACGGGGCGGACAGTGGTCTGGCTTGGCTTGATATATAGGGAGAGAGAGATGGAGTTTAGCAGCTTTGCAAAAAGTAGGGAGGTAGAGAGAGAGAGAGCTGCTCTCCTGCAATGGGCATTAAAAAGCAGAGTCAAATCATAATATGACTTATTCTTCTCTCCGTTGGGGTTCTTCCTTTTGAAGGGTTTCCTTATGGGGCTGGCTTTTGTTACTTGCCAGGCTCCCTGTTAAGCCCCGTGCGAGGGATGTTGACTAATCTTATCTTTCTAATAATCCCCTGATTAGAATCGCTCTGCAAACTTGCAAACTGCTGCTTTGTCCCTCCGGGTGTCTCAGCCCCCGCAGCCAGTTTTCCTTTTGTTGTTCAGGTATGGTTTCAGTGGTGTCAGGCATGGGGAAGCAGCGATTATTGCTTCGCAATCCAAAGTGATGTCTGAAATCCTAGCACTTTCCACATATTAACTGGAATGAGGGGGACACAGGATCGTGTGTGCCATCCTTACTGCTAGCCATTATGTCTTTAGATCCTATGCACATAGGATTATTTTTTTTAAATGGATTTTTTTCTCTGCCGTTGGAAAAGGAATGTTCACGTTGGGGTCGGGGGAAAGAGAAGAATATTTGTTCTCCTTGAGTTGAATTTATGAAAGTTGAGGTGAGATGGATCACCCAGTCCTGCTCTCCCACTTTCAGCCTAATATGTGAAGGGTGCTTCTGTCACCAAACCTCTTGTGTGCATTTTAATATCTGTGTATTGTGTCAAGAGACATGTTAAGTTTAATGCAGGCATCAGCACCTGACACCCTGGGGCAGCTGTCAGGGCTCACCCAGCATGTCACTGCAAGCCACCATTTATATTTTCCAGAGTGACATGAGTTTGGCACTCTGGGGCACCGTGAAGAATTAAAATGCCATCTCTCAGTCCCCGTCCCCCCCACAACTGCTGCCACTACTGGATATGCCTGAGGGGACCCATCTGTGTAAGACAGGGTCCAGCAGAAGGCACTTTGACCTTTGTCATTACTATTTGGGGAGAGGTACTGTAGTTGCTAATACACACATACAAGGTATTTTCCTACTTTAAAAACAAGGCCTTGTTCCTTAAATGGAAGCCAGCATTTCAAAATCAGTGCTCTTGACGGGGTGATACAGTGGTACCTCAGGTTAAGTACTTAATTTGTTCCAGAGGTCCGTTCTTAAGCTGAAACTGTTCTTAACCTGAAGCACCACTTTAGCTAATGGGGCGTCCCGCTGCCACCGCACTGCCGGAAAACGATTTCTGTTCTCATCCTGAAGCAAAGTTCTTAACCTGAGGTACTATTTCTAGGTTAGCGGAGTCTGTAACCTGAAGCATATGTAACCTGAAGTGTATGTAACCCAAGGTACCACTGTACACCTATTACCCCCATCCTGGCCAGTGGTCAGGATGTAAAATAACAGAGGTTGATTGGAAGTGATTTGCTGGAAGCTTTCGCACGGAATTGTTAGCTGAGTTGCCATTTGAATCTAAGGACTCATTGACATCTGATGAGGTGGTCTGGTGGTGCATGCAGGAGAGTTGGTTAGGTCAGATAGGAGGCTGCGGAAAATAGGGGTCTTCTGCTGCCATATATCAAAGGGGATGGAGGTGATAACATAATACTGCAACTTACTGCAAGGTGCTCGCTGTCTGTGGGGCTGTTAACAGAAATTAATACGGTTAATAATAGAACATTAAGTGAAACTGCTGTATAGAAACACATTTCCCCTGGTTCATTTCAGGCTTCAGTTTTAAAGTTTAAATAGCTTGGGATCAGAGTACCTTGAACACCACAAATACATCCTTGTTTATTAATATCTTCCCTTGAGTCCTCATCACTGAGACCCCTTTGTATGCAGAAGTGAGGTGGGCTGTGATGGAGCCTTTTCATTTGTGTCACCCCAACTCTGGAATGCTCCCTCTCTATCTAATGTCATTTCAGCAACAGATTAAAAAAATGCTATTTTTATTCTTATTTATTTATGATTATTACTTTGTCAAAATAAAATAAACAAATAAAATAAATAAAAGTTGCTTAGGCTGTTTTCTTCAGTGTTTTCTCAACTGTTTTAGTTCAGTGTGACCTTTGTTATTCTATGTTGTTCCTTTTTTATTGAGTTTTACAGATATTATTGATGGCTGATTTGAATATTTAAATGTTTGTTTTAAATATTTGTTCGCTGCTCCTGGTGGTTTTTATCTGAATAGTGCCATATGATTGGATATATGTACATGCAGGTTTATTTTGAAATGGCTTTCCCCCCCTCATGCAAGCAATTATTTTATGCTTCAGTAACTGAGTGCGTGTGTAGCTCCAAGAGCTACAACCTCGTGCAGGATGTTGGGGCATTTTAACTTCATAGCCGGTTGCAGCTGCCTCACACTTTCCCTCAGTATCTGTGTAAGAATGAGGAAGAAATTTGCTGCTGCAAGATGGTCCAGCTTTATGAGTGACGTACACAGGTGCCATGGTGGGAGAGGCCTATATATAGTTCCAAACTAGGAGGGACCTGGGAGCCCCAGCTGTCATTCCACAAACCATATGGAGTCTGAGCACCTTTTTTTTGGTGGCAGTGCCTGGGCCCTAAGGATTCTAGGCCCCACTCAACTCAATGGGATTTGCTCAATGCTTAGGGTTTTACTTTTAATTTGTCAGGAATATGTGATTCAAAATGGGAACCTTCCATTCCAGCTCCACTTCCTTAAGGGAGGGAAATCTTTATATCAGAAACATAATCAATCCTTTTCCATTCCCCAGAGCTTAAGCCACACAGTTGAGTTGCCTGACTGCTAACATCCAGGTGTGTGCATAGGTGGTGAGAAATAGGCTCTTTACCATTTGAAGAATTCAAAGGACACCTTTTAAAAATAGACTCTACAAAATAAAACCTGGGAACAAATGAGGGCACACAATTAAGCCTCCCCCGTCCCCACCCCAGCTGTCCTATTTCGGGCCTTAAAAAGAGTGTGACCTGAAGGAACTTAGCCGAGGAAGCTTTTCCTGTGATAAAGTGAAGGGTTCACATACTTAATTTTTGCATCGTTAGCTTGCTGCTAAAGGCACTGGTAGCAAACAAACAAACCCTGCCAGAGCTGTAACCTGTTGAATAAGAAACAATGCTACAGTACTAGTTTGCTGCTTAGTAGAAATAGAAAACTATATTACAGTACATTAGAGCATTAAAGCTATCTCCTTCCAATCCTGCTGAAGCTGAAATAGCTTGCTGCTCCTGCTGTTGCATTTCATAACATATATTTCCATCTCCAAAAAAGGAAGCTAGAGAGCTTAGAAAAATAAGAGAGGATATCCTAGAACTGGACTGGGCCGAGGTGAACAGTTTGGCTGTGGAAGTTCAGCTAGTTGATGGAGGCCTAGCGTTCAACGAGGTGGCTGCACGCTTGATAAAACACTCTTCCTGACAGAAAAAACCCTTCACACAGAGCTAGAGATCTGAGAGAAGGAGTTCTAGCCTAATTTTCTCTCCACCATGCTAATTTCCGTGAGCAGAAAACAGCTCACTAGGTGTCCTTGAACCAGTCAGTGTCTCTCACTCACAGGTTTTAACCTACCTCACTGGGTAGTTGTGAGCATAAAATGGGTTGGAGAGGAATATTGAGCTCTTTGGAGGAAAGGTGGGATATAAATGTACAGTGGTACCTCAGGTTAAGTACTTAATTCGTTCCGGAGGTCCGTCCTTAACCTGAAACTGTTCTTAACCTGAAGCACCACTTTAGCTGATGGGGCCTCCTGCTGCCACCATGCCACTGGAGCCCGATTTCTGTTCTCATCCTGACACAAAGTTCTTAACCTGAAGCACTATTTCTGGGTTAGCGGAGTCTGTAACCTGAAGCGTATGTAACCCGAGGTACCACTGTAATATTATTAATGAATGAATAATTGTTTTGTACGAAAAAGCACCCCATCATGTGAGCACCCATCAGCAGTTTGAAGAGGCACTAGGCAAACACAGAACTAAGCTCAAGGCTTTTCTGTTACCTTAGCTTCATGAATATTTTTGTTAACAGTTTGGAAAAGACAGGTGTAAAACAACACGGACTTCTCTGTTTTCAAACATAAAACTCCACTGGGATAACACCACCATACCACTGTCGGTGTAGAATGAATGTAGGCGATCGACAAGATAGTGAAATTAATTTTAACTCCAGCATAACAAGTTACTTCTGTGGAAGCGGAAGACCACACTTTTAGGAATTCTAGTCCTGCTGGTAACGTTGGCTTTGAATATTTTAATGGGATTTCTAATGAGATATGTGAATGAATGTAACAGTGGGCATGACAGTTAAGAACACACACACACACACACACACACACACACACACACACACACAAGCACAGCATTGATTTGACCCATAAAAGCCTCTTAATACATTGTAGTAGAAGAAGAGACCCATTAAATCTTTCAGGAGCAGGGAACACAGTTCTCATAACACTGAGCGTTTTTTTAGTGCAAATGTCTTTCTGTAGACATTCATGACTAAATACACCACTTCTCCTGAAGCTGAAACAGAGGATCAAACAGACATGACTCAGCAGATCCATGAGCAGCAGTTTCAAAAGTTTTATAAAAGAGCCATGCCATGTTTAAACCCCTTCCCCGCATCATTTTTCTGAGGGAGATTACCCCAATTGGCCCTCGTTCCATAATAAAGCAAACCCCAAACCAATTTCAAGAAAATGTTTTTAAACCTTCCTGCAGGAACACAATTGCAGTTGTGTGTGTGTGTGTGTGTGAATAGTTGAATTCCATTCAAAAAGGCCAAAGCAGCAATTTCCACAAGTGGATCAATCTCTTCACCGTGCCATTTTCTCAGTAGCAACGGCCTTCTTCCGCCCTTATATGCATGCTAGGGAAAAATATGGGCAGCGCAAGTAGTTTAGTTATCTACTCTAAATGTAAAATGAATTGGTACCGCCATGAATGAGCAATTATTTTTAGTTATTTGCTAGAGAACGTCAGTATGGGTAACATTTGATTGTTTACAAACTCTCTTCCTATTTGGTTTTTCCTCTTCCCAGGGTTGAAGCTTTGCGCGATACAGCATCTTCAATGGAGCAGGAAAAGGAATCACTTCTAGAAATGATCCATGGCATACAAAACAGCCAGGATATGAGGAACATTAGTGAAGGTAAGAGTCCAGCAGTTCTTGAATCACTCACTCACTTTGGGCAAATGAAAAAAAAAGATATACAGTATAGGGTAGTAGCCAATTGGTGGAAGGAGGCTATTTTTGGCAATTTCTCTTACTCCCTGTAGCTCCCAAAATTCACTCCAAAGTGCCATGGGCGTGTGGATATCCCAGTCCTATTGGGGTAAGGAATGTTGCAGGGAGACAGGAGAAATCACCCAAAATTATTCCCTTCCTTGTTATTGTTGATGGGTGCCTTCCATCTGTGGAGCAACACCAATTGTGTACCATTCATAAAACTCATAATTTCACATTCTTGGAAAACACACCATACAATGTTTGAGCCCCTTTGCCTGGTAGTGAAACATTTGTTATTTTGCATGGATAGCTGCAATATTGGCCAAGTCAAAACCCTCTCCTAAGAGAGAAAATCTCTTGGGAAGCCCACTAGAACTATGATTGCACTCCCAGCTTCTATGTTGTGCGGTAGAAGAGGCAATTATACAAATAATACTACTAGTTTAGCTTGACTTTTCCAACTTAGTACAGCACGTTGGTTTGATGTAAAGCTTTAAAACCAAAACGTTTTCACTTTCAAAATGCAGGTGAAAGAGAAGAACTCAGTCTGACTGCTAAACGTTTGATGGGCAGAACCCTCACGGTGGAAGTTTCAGTAGAAACCATCCGAAATCCCCAGCAGCAAGAGTCCCTATTACATGCCACACGGATGATCGATGAAATAGTTGGCAAACTATTGGATGATTTGGAAGACTCCAAGAGCCGCTTAATGTCGCTTTATGGTGCTTGTACATCTGAGGTGCCTGCTGGACCTGTTAACCAAAAATTCCAGTCTGTTGTAATTGGATGTGCGATAGAAGATCAGAAGAAAATCAAAAGACGGCTAGAGACTCTTCTCAGAAACATAGAAAACTCTGAAAAATCCATCATGCTATTGGAGCACCAGAAATCCACTGCAAGGCACCTCTGCAACAACGGGAAAGATTAAAAGCGAAATCAAATAAATCAAAGAATTGCTGCTTCCCTGGAATTTGAAGAAGAAGAAAAAAGCAACACCAGAGGACCTTGCATGTCTATGTAGCCCTTAAACCAACTCTTGGGCGTTCAGAGCACAGAGGCATAGCTAAAAGGGAAGAAGCTTGGCAAAATTCCCTTACTTTACCCTCAGTGAGAAGACTACCAATTAAAAAATGGACTCATATGAAGCGCTTCCTCACTCTGCGGCAGATACAGGATTAAGCAGCTATAGGACTGTAGAAGCACATGAACATCCAGCAGTTTTCAATCCATTGCTTTTCTTCCCCCAGAGTTATCCAGCCTATTTTACTCTGTGTGGGGAATAGTAGCGTCCTGGATATATTAAAATAGGTAGCTATAGCCATATTTGATATCAGTATTAAAATGTAGGCATCTGATGATGTGCCAATGATTTAACTTTTCATAAGCTGTATTTGGTTTGCTCCCGTACAGTTAACTGTTTTAGTATTTTGATACTTCTGTTATAAAAAAAATCCGCTGCTGAATTCCAGAAGCTCCTCAATCCCTGTTTTGCTTTGTTCTCTAGAAAGCTTCAGTGTCTACCATCATGTGCAAAAATGTCACATCGCACACTTCCTTTCCTCTCTTTCTCTCTCTCTCTCTCTCACACACACACTCACACACAAAAGGCAGGTAAATGAGCATTGCATAGGGAGAGGATTCTGGGGTAAGCGGATTGCTGCAGTAGATGCAAAGAAAATGATGTGCACTTTTTTCTTGCTGAAAATTAATAAAAGTAGATTGCACTCTACATTGTAAACACTTCCATAGCCTTTTTTTTTCTGGTAAAGGTTATTTTTATTTATTTTTATCTATAGAGCTACAAATTGCTGGACCAAGGCAAATTGTGAGAAACTTTATATTCTAGTCGCACTCCTTCTATTATTCCACCTGCTCAGAAATCTTAACGTGTAAGTATCAATTTGGTCGTAAGTTGCTACAACTCTGTTATGACTGTGGAAATTGCTCCCCAGTTTTCTGCAACGCTCTGGGTAGTGAGGAAGGCCAAATGATAGCTGGTGCACAAATGGAGTTAAGACTCGCTGTGAAGCTGACCAAACATGTGTTGTGCACCCTATTGTGGTGGAAGCAATGAAGGTTGCATAGTCGCCTCCAATGCATCTTTGACCTGCCCATCCAGTGGGGTTTATTGGCATCTACCATTGCAAATGAGATGGTGGAACTCTTGGAAGCCTGCTGTGACAATGCTAAGTGCATAGAGAATCAAATGGCTTGCCTTCATAGGAACTTGAGTCCTGCCATTATTTCCAGGTCCAGGTGAGGTGTCCAATGCCTGGCTTGGTGGCACCTGTTTCAGTTGTTTTCATCCTACAAACATGGACAAGATGCTTGTGTAGACCAATCACAATATGATTTTTTTGACCATTGTTCAAGCCAGATGCTGAGGGTTATGCAGCTAGGTCTGGGGGGAGGTTGATGCATCATTATGTGAGAGAAGTACTATGACCAGTGGAACTCCACCTGGGAACAACAGAGGCAGGCCCCTTAGAACAAGCTCCCCTCTGCAATATAGCAGGCGCAATTGTTTCAAATGTTTATTTAAAACATACTTCCTCACTTAGACATTTCCCTTGTCCACTGATGCTGATTTAATAATTCCAGCACTGCAATGATATTTTGCTGTTTGAGGGATGTTTATTACTTCATTAGCATAGTTTTTACTACTGTAAACAGCTCTGGAGGTTTTCTGTTTTCTTTAAAAAAAAAATGAAAATCTGCCTACAACTTATTAATAAATGCAGTAAACAGACAGAATACCAGTCACTTTTGTTATCCTACAATAGTTAGGACTTGAAACATAACTCAGAATCAGGCACACTACAACATAACTGGCACCTTTAAAAATTTGAGAATAGGTGAATGCCCGGCAGACACTGCATTGTATCCAAGGCATATTATGATTTAAGAAAGGAATGTTAGTAAATACCAGTTGACTGCATGCCAGTTTTATGGAAAATCAGCTTTCGGTTAAAATCCTTAGGTTCCAGTTCACCTAAGGGGCACAGGGGTATGGAAATAGGCTTTGGCACACAGACAATACCAATGGAGTCTATTTTGTGCATATAAAGGAACAAGTAGAGAGAGATACACATCCAGTATCCAGCGCTGAATGAAAAATGATGTTTACTAGCCTGGGACTGTGGACAAAGAACAAGGTAGATAGCTGGTTAACAGCGCAAATCACCACTGTAGAGGTGTTAGCAGAACCCACTTCCCTCTTTCAAAATGGGCCAGCTATCACAACTATCAAAGCTGGCAGTGTTACCCATACATTTAGCAACATATGCAAAGTTGTTGTTTTTTGCATGAAAAGTCTTCTCGCTTAGACATCTAGCAATGACTTTCAATTAACGCAGTTGCTCATTAGGCAGGAATTCAACACTGACTGATTCCTCAGTGCAAGTATGTTGGCTTGCAAGATGGAACAATTCCTTCTCTTATGTGCTGCTCTGGGGTGCATGCGGGGAGGAAAAGTGGGGGAAGCCCCTTGTGCAAACAGAAATCCTGGTGCAGGGCTTCTGCCAACAGGACTCGTAGCTGAACATGATACAAAAATGACTGGTAGTGCATCTTCCTTCTGTACTTAATACATCTATATTGGAAATGCATTACAGATGACTTCTGTAATAATTTTCTGGCATTAAGAAAAGATATCCTAGAGATATCTAGGATGGTCAGTTATCAATCTTTAGCCTACTAAAGGCACTCAACTCAAGCTTTAAATTCTGAAAACAGTATGCGCTCAAACCTCAACGTACAGCAGCACAAGTACATGTTATAAACACACATTACATTTGCACTATTTTATACAAAGCCAAACAAGTAAAAAAATCACTGAGATCAGATTCCTTCTGTTCACAAGTACAAAACATGTAAGGCTACTAGTTTAATGTAAAAATTTTCATATAAAAATAATGTGCACACAGAGCCATAGATACTTAAGTAAGATTGACAGTGGACAATTGGTAACTTGCTGATATGCTCTTGCATTTGTCAAAACAAAGCAAGACTTAATACAGTTTGGACCCATACATCTACAGCCATCCAGTGAGTAAATGCACTTGTTTAAAAAACAAGGTACTTAATCCAACAATTCACAATGAAGTAAGGGATTGATTACTGCAATGCCCAACTCATTGCCAGCAATGGGAATGGTTATGAAAGCAAAAGGAATCCTATGCTATTCATTATGTATGTATAACTATATACTTTTCATTCCATGTTACTTGATAGCTAGGCAAAGACTCCCATCAAAGAAAAAGTATGTTAGTTTTAGCATATGCATGTTCATGGAATTTCAGAAGCCCTCTCTCAAAATATAACACTTACTGTGGGATGTTCTCTTAGGACGGACAATGCAATATTTCAAGGTTGATGGATATAGTTTTAAATCTATTGGGTAGCTGAAAAGTAACATTCATGAAACAAGATCAATATTCAAAAGAACTGTACAATTCAGCTGCCAGAGCTCCAGGTCATGTTATTCACCCTTGGATATAATTACGTTCCTCAGCTACTAATATCCAAAGTTTAGAATCAGAGTAATTTGGTAGTGACAGAACTTAGTTACAGAAATACTGTAGAAATATTAAACAATATGTAAACAGAAAGCAATCTTATAAATGCATGCTTCAACAAAGAAAACTAGGGTTAAAGTTTTACCAATGATCTTGCAGCTTGAGATTTTTTAAAAACAACTAATGCCCTCAATCCAAGTGCCCTGAAAATACTGCCATCCTGATGAATGGGGTGGGCTGTGACATAGGAGTGCTGAGGGAGAATTCACAGAGAGAGCCTTCATAACCCTATCACATTCAGCCTCCAAAAAGTTAGTGGACCATGTTCAGGGGGGTTGTTGTGGAGAGGAAGGGATGTGGAAGTCAGTTTTCCCCAAGTCCCAATATGTACCCTTAGCTCTGGCTCCAACCCACCTGGAAGGTCTTGCTCTAAGACTATGCATAAGAGCCACAACGGCATGATTAAGAACAAGTGTGTATTTAAAGTAACAAAAAAAGGGGGGGGCTTATTACCCTGAACCTGGGATGCTCAATAGATATTACAACAAGCACTAGAAAAAGTCCTCAAAAGCACTTTGATAAAAAAATCTCTATATTTTTTCCATGTTTTTCCATTAATATATAAGCTATAGGGTTCTATTTTTTCAAAAACAGAGCTGATTGAAAATAGAATTACCAGGCTGTACCATTTATCACCTGCTTGCCTCATTAAAATTTAGAATATATATGTATATACATATGACACTAAATTAACTAAAACATCTAGGTGTAGCAGCATAAGTATTTGCCTTTGGCACCGTACCATTTTTTAAAAGAAAAGTTAAGGCCCACAGAGTAGGGAGAATGTAAGCATGCACAACACCATTTGGGAAAGGTTTGTTCCAAATTTTTTTTAAATGAAAGTCATCTTTAGGATGCCAGTTCAGAAATTATCAGGAACCTATCATTGGGCCCAGTACCTGATTTATTATCCTGAATCTATGACCAAGTTTTTATATACACACATTGCAGCTAGAATTCATAAGCTATATAAATATTGCACCGCCAATATTGCCAGAATGTGCATAGGGTAGTTTAACAAACTATTAATCCCAACTGAGCTATGTGGTCAAATAAGTAGGAAAAGGCATTTTCTCTTGAACGGTACCAATACTTAAGCATTTCAGCTGAACTTTTTCTTTTTCTTTTTAATAAAGTGAAACCTATTGTATACTTTAATACAACGCATCTTTCGCCTGGAAAGTTGTCCTATTGAATGTAAAACAAATGCATGGGGGCAACGGTTCTATTTTTGTGCTGCCAGGGGTCTCATTATGTACTGATAATAATTCATTGCAACAGGAATATCCACTATCAATGCAAGATGCAATGCGTGCAACATCTGCTAAAGCACTGGTAAAACACCTCTACAGCCAGTTGTGTCCCTTATGGGTTTCAGCCGAGCAGCTGTGTCAGACCATCTTTTCTTCTCTATGCGGGAGTGTTAGGGAATGCTGCAGTTGCTAAAAGGGCTTCTGTTTTTCTTGGTCCTTTGTTTGTTTGGCCTTAGGTTGATGACATCACCACCATTAAGCAAGTTAGAATTCTGCCCAGAATGACTTCCACCTGCTGTGTTGAAAACACCTATTTGAAATCAAGCACAGGCACAAAAACGGAGTTACATATATGCAAACTGACCATCTTTGAAATATATGAGAGATTTTAAAATTTTAATTGTAAGCATCTTGAACATTGTGAGATGTGTCCTATATACAGATAGATAGATAGATAGATAGATGATAGATAGATAGATTGATAGATAAATAGAAATACAACTTAATGTAAAAGCATGGATAATGCACAATTTATCCTTAGTTTTTCCATTTTAGAAATGTGTGCCTGATCAAATAATGACTTCATAAGCCGAGATCCCAGAGACAATTAAATAAAATTAATGTATGCTACTGTCAATTCTTTAATATATCTTTTTGCAAAAAAGAAAAGGGGAAAAAAAGACGAAACCTAAGGGCAGGATTCAACTAAGTTGTTGCTTGGAATGAGATCTGCTCATGCAATGGAATTCCCTTCTCTTCTCCCCTTAAAGGGTCAGGGGAAGCCCCAAGTTTAGGGGGTGCAGGGCCGGGAGTACCATTGCGCGAGGAAAGCTCGTTTCTCACATACTCCAGTTAACGCTATGTTGAATTTCACCCTCAGTTATTGGACATTGGCACTCACACTCATCACTTGGCAAACTAAAGCACAGCAGAGACATAACCCTGCGCCAACAAATCTTACTTTTAGACACAAGAAATGGCGATGGGGGGTGGGGAGAGCAGACTGTGAAATACTTTAAAGAAGAGCCACATACAAAAGTTCAGTGTCTATAAACAAAAGACAGTTTACAAAGCTATTTTCATCAGGTGCCAGTTTTTTCTTTAAAAAACAACAAAACGAAAACAGCCATCTCTTGTACATCTTCGCTGGCATAATTACCATTAATGGCAGCTATATATTTTCAAACATTGCCAATATGCAGGGAATTCTGCACTGTCCATTCTTTGCATAACTTCAGTGCACAAGATTTTAAGAAAAGTGGCTGACATGCCCTCGTGTCATTAGTACCATAGTTTGACATTATAGAATAGAAATCATAGCCACGCACACAGAGCACATTTTCCCTACAGCTATTTGGCAAATTAAGTGTTTTTTTATTTCACTTTCATTGAAATGCACTAGGAACAGAACAGGCACCCCATAGTTAACAGTACATTTTATCAGCAGGCAATACTGTCTGGCGGCATACATACCAATTTTGTTACTACTTGTGTGTACTACTTCTGGATCTTCAACTATTCTTTGTTTGAGTTTTTGAAGATACTTCTCAGCCAAATACTTAAAAACTGCAGAATATATATAAAGAAACTTTCAGGCATTAAGAAAAAGAGACAGGCACAGTTTTACATATTCAAGCTACTAATCCAGGTCCGATTTCAAAGTAACAAAACTCCTACCAACCATAGAAAAAGAAAAATCCAACCACATAAATATCTCAGAAGGTGGTCACATGCAAGATAAGACACATATTGCAGGTCAGGATGAATCACATGTATACCTGAAGGAGCGTCTCTACCCCCATAGTTCTACCCGGACACTGAGGTCCAGCGCCAAGGGCCTTCTGGCGGTTCCCTCACTGCGAGAAGTCAAGTTACAGGGAACCAGGCAGAGGGCCTTATCGGTAGTGGTGCCCGCCCTGTGGAACACCCTCCCATCAGATGCCCAAGAAATAAACAACTATTGGACTTTTATAAAACAACTGAAGGCAGCCCTGTTTAGGGAAGCTTTTAATATTTGATGAATCATTGTATTTTAATATTCTGCTGGAAGCCGCCCAGAGTGGCTAGGGAAACTCAGCCCGATGGGCGGGGTATAAATAAATTATTATTAAAACCATTTCAGAACAATTTGGACAACCAACACCTGGTATATTTATAAGAATGACCTACAGCTAAATACGTACACCCAGTTTGTTCTGTGCTGAACAAGCTGCCCAACCCTGCTCCACAACATTAAAGCCAATATCTTTTTCGTCATGATTATAGGAATGTAAATAGCTGCCTTTAAGTCACACCTATGGTGTCAGACAGGAGTCTTTCCTATACTCACCTGGCAATATCAGGAACCCTCTGCCTGCATAGCCCGTGTTCTACTACCAAGGTATGGTTGCTCCCATACATATCTGCTGCCAGCCTTAGAGCCCTTAGTTTTTCAATCATTCCCTTTGCAATTTGAATTTAGCTTGAAAAGTTACTTTACTTGGGACGTACCACTTTAGACTGCAGATGGATATTTGCATGATCAAATGCTCTTCAATCCATCCTGAACATTAAAAATTAGGTGTTGCAGACAAGAATGGATATAGGTTGATCACTTCGGCGAGAACTAAGCCAGTGGTGGCCAAACTTTGCCCTCCAACTGTTTTGGGACTACAACTCCCATCACCCCTAGCAAACAGGACCAGTGGTCAGGGATGATGGGAATTGTAGTCCCAAAACAGCTGGAGGGCAAAGTTTGGCCATCACTGAAATAAGCAAACAACATTTGAAATTCCCTTCCGGAAAAGTTACAGCGAACTCTTACCTTCTGTTATGTTTAGGTCCTCCTTTACAGATGCTCGGTAGAATCTTAATTTTAGCTTTTTTGCCAATGCTTCTGCTTCTTCACTGTTTACCGGAGCAGAAAATTGTTTCAGACACTGGTTCTTTCCCCCCAGTACAACAGACACAATTAATTTAGATTAAATTTAATCAATCATCTTCATGAAAGTAGATTATATTACTGAAAGGTAACTGTGTGCAAGAGCAGCAGAAGATTGCTGTTGACAATATTGTAGCCTTAGGTTTATTTGCTACAAGGACTGAAGAGGTGAAGCTAACAGATAGTGGGTGGGCAAACGTAACTAAAAATACAGTCATACCTTGGGTTACAGACGCTTCGGATTGCGCACCACGCCAAACCCGGAAGTACCAGAATAGGTTACTTCCGGGTTTTGGTGCTTGCGCATGCGCAGAAGCACTAAATCGCGCTTTGCACATGCACAGAAGCGCCGAATCACATCCCGCGAGTGCGCACACGCGGCGCTGCAGGTTGTGAATGCTGCGGGTTGCAAACGTGCTTCCCGCATGGATCATGTTCGCAACCCGAGCGTCCACTGTATATACAGTAGTCTGTTATAAACCATCACAGCACCTTATGAAATATATGCAATCAATCAAGATATTCAGAGTTCATCTGTTATCTGCCATAACAGGGAAAACATAGCTCTTGCATACATAAACCAAGTTAAACTAAATCCCCTACATTTGTTTATTAAATTTATATTCCATCTTTCATCCAAGCTCAGAGGGGCACTCCCCATGTTATCCTCAAAATAAGCCTGTGGAGAGGGTTTGGCTGAGAGACAGTGAATGTCCCAAGGTTCCAGTGAGCTTCATGGTTGAGTGGTGATTTCTACCCTCACCATCCAAGCCCTTGTCTGACACTCTAACCCCTACACCACCCAAGTTTAATAGGCAGCCATTCATTTCCAAAGAGCCTGTGGCCAAACTATACCCTAGAGTGCCAGGCCCATGTCATGAGACGCAGGTCTATCCTACCAGTGTGTGAACTGGAGAATGGGGCATGAATGATTTTAAAGTGGAATGGACTAGAGGTGCTGAGCTACTCCTCTTCACTCCCCAGCCTGCCCAAGCCACACTCACTTCCAGTACAAGAAAAATAACCACTGGAGTTAGAACAGGAGCGATAAGACTGCAGGGGCCAGTGGGATGGGGAGAGTTAACCACCACCTAACTATACACCTCATTTGTGTTTGTACTCACTACATACTCTCTAAATCCTGCTTTCATTATTATGTTGTTTAAATGGGCTTGTTTATGATACATTTTAATTATTGATGCTTTGTTGTTTGGATGAGATTGTTTTACTATGTATTTTAGTTACATGTAGCTATATTTGTTTAGTTTGTGGCCTGCATGCTGGTAGCTAGCCACAACGGACCATATATATCCATGCCCATTATCAAACCGAATACTTGCCGCTTCTTTGAATTGTTTGCATTTTTGTGTGACCGTTACAAAGTCATTTAAGCGATTTGAAAACTGATTTCACGAAGCATGGCAACAGCACTTACTTCTTTATACAAGATTCATCTAGGAGGTCAATTTTATTCTGAACAAGCACTGTAGGGATGTCTCCGACTTCAGATACTACTTTCTCCTTCCAAGTAGGGATTGCTTCAAAAGACTCTCTGTCAACAGTCGAAAACACAAGCACGCACGCTTGGGCTCCTAAAAGTCACAATTAAGCACCGTTTTTTTGATAAATTTGGTTAACCACATCAAACCTATTAAGAAGCTGGAACAGGACTGTTTTTTCCTACTTTATTCAAATAAAGCAAGCATTTTCCAGCTAGTTTGTGTTGAGCACAGTGGGACTTATACCAGAGTAAACATGGCTTATTGTCCCAAAGACTTTGTTCTTACATTTGACTCAGGTCTTAAGGGCTGCACAGTAAACAGGTGTCTTAGTTGTCAAAATCACTCCTTAGGGTTGTTTATACTACACTTTAAAGAGAACCATGTAATGAGCCCCTTATCTGGAGTCAAATACTTGGATCTGAACAAAAAAACACCACTGCTTGTTATTATAAGAACAAGTTACTCATGATATTCTATCTAGCTCCCCACTGCCAACAGTGAATGGAAGGTAATAGTATATACACTGGCAAGCATTTTACCTGAATTCTGAGCAGTCACTCCTGTACTGTAAGCAGTACGAAACCTTGTGTACTTAATGAAACCCAATAGTCTATGCCTTAGCCAAAGTTCTTTGAGCTGGGGTTGTAGAGAATACCTGCAGTTATAGAGTATTGTTTTATACTGTATATTTTAATTTTAATTAATCCCTGTCAAACTTTGGAGAGGTAGAATACAAAAGAAATAAAATAGGTGTGGATGAACAAAATAGGTGTGCAGAAGGAACTAGACGAGTGGTTCTTAAATTTTGTTTCATTAAGGGCTGCCTTTAATACACCAGACTTTCTTTATAGCTACCATGTGGAAAGCCACCTTAAAAAGCTTTGCAATTAAAACTGATCATCTCCTCTTATCCTCTCTGGCTGGAATCTAACAATGCACATTGTTTAGGAGACATCAAAAGTAACACAGCCTAGAACCATTGCCAGTTTCCTATACGACATGTCAGTATGCTAGTAATTCTATTTACCTCTGTAATAAGCTTTCGTAATTGCATCAAATTCTTCTTGACCTGCTGTGTCCCACAGCATCAGTCGGACATCTTCATTGTTGACTCTTAAAAAAAACAAAAACAGCATACATTCTCAATATTTAATCATACTATAAAAAGCAAAATAAATTTGTTATTTAAAGTACATTTGTGGCAGTAGCGTTTATACCCCACATCTTTTCAGGAACACCTAAATCTATCCTACTTCCTTGTAAATTATTTATGCCTTTTCTAAAAAAATTCATTTTTTTTATCACGATAGCTCTTGCCCCTTGCCTTTTATCTCACAACTCTGCATGGTATGTGAGAATGAAAAAAGTGTGACTGGCCAAAGGTAACCTAGTAGGCTTCATGGCTGAATGGAGATTGAGCCCAGGTTTCTGAGTTCTAATCCAACACAGCCTGTCAAACCTTAGGTCCCCAGATTCTGGTTTGACTACAATCACCATTGCTGCCAAGCAGAATGGCTGATTATTAAGGATGACAGGAGCTGTAGTTTATCATTATATGGAGACCCAAGGCTGTGGGACTACAACTTCCCTCACCCCACAACGATCAACCATGCTGACTAGGGATGATGGGAACAGCAGTTTAACAGCATTTGGGGACCTAAGGGTGAGAAGTAACTGCTGTAACTGCTACACAACACTGCCTTGACTTCAACTGAAAACCATCCTGCATCTTACTTTTCCCCTCTTTCTTTGTGAAAATGACTTCACTACTGTGTGTTAGTGAAATTTTAAAATTCCAGCTTACTTTTACTGTGGTGTTCTTGTCCCCTACATAACATACTGCTATTCCCTGTCAGGAATATTCCCCACTTTTTCACTCATTCACACAACCTTTCTATCTCATCTGACAAATGAGACCTTTCCTTAAAAGGGCTGGTCTTTTACACAGTCTGTGCATTTTTTTGCATTTATTATTCAAGTCGGCAAATGTGGCACTTCTATGGAAAGTCTGCAGAATACAATTAGCATATAAATGCCTCACTTTCAGCTCTGTTAAAGAAAGGAAGAATAGTGTCACAACACTTTTCTCCAAGAAAACATTAGCTCAGCCCTTACAAAAAGCATCACACACAGGGAGGGAGGGAGACATACAAAGAGTGGCAAGAAGGAACTGTGCCCCCATATGTTAAAACACATACTGCATTTCTCTTTCCAGGAAATCAACTCCAATAGTTTTCTTGTAATCTTTCGTGAAAATTCCTTTGCAATATCTCTGGATCATACTGGACTTCCCAACAGCTCCGTTTCCAACGACCACCACTTTGATGGCCACTTCCAGATCTTCCTCCAACATCTTGGCAAATCCCCAAAGTCTGCAATTACTTCACAGTCTTAGCTAGATCTTCCCCGTATCTGAAGAGAAAGAGTAAAAATACTATTAAAGATAGTGCTATTAAAGATTCTAGCTTCTATGATCTACAGCGTATATGGGAGATAAGTGGCTTGTAGACCCTGTCTTTGTCTTTTCCCCAAGGAATAATATCTCACTGTACAGCTGAATGCCCTCAAGTTGACTATTCAGTGTCAGCACATACACCTTGAACCCAAGGACAACTAGGATAGTCAGGGTCAATTGTATCAGATACTAACACACGCCCAAAGATCCTGCTGCAGAATTTTGTTGCCTGAGGAGGAAGATGCATACAGAATGTCTATTCTTTCTAGCTCATTGCTCTTACCAAGCTGCATCAAGCTAACACCATCATTAACTCTCAAATTCCAAGGCCAACCGTACTGTATGAAAAAAAATGAAAGCGAAAGTTTAAAAAATACCTATTTGAATTGTAACAAGTTACGACAAGTGCTCTTTTAAGTAGGGTGGCTTGTTTTCTTACCAGGCATGCATAACAGAAATTTATTCTCTTAACAGTGCCCCATAAAGTATTTGTTTAATATTTGAAAAGAGGGTAAAATCAAGATTGGTTAAGTAGCCCATACAAATACAACTGAAAGAGAGTTACTCTAATTGTTTCAGAATTACAATGTCTGCAGCAATACATATCTTACGGCTGCACAGTATCACACTACAGTCCCTTCACGTCTTAATTCCTACCCGAGGCTGCTGTTTCCGAGGCATTTCATGTCTACACCAGCGCCTTTCCAAAGATACACACACCCAGGTTTAAGTCAGATGTCAGTGTGCAAACTCTCTGAGGATTTAGCCTCATTCCATTTAGTATGATCTGTTGCTTGTTTCCTTCCCCACCCTGTGTAATGTTCCTTCCAGCCACAAGTTCATCTCATAAATCTCCAACACACACAGAGAAAAAACTACACACAAAAAACTATTCAGCTCCTTCCTACATCATACACATTGGCTGCTATGGGAAGCAGCCTCCCAGGTCAAATTCTGCTCCTAATATAATTAGAGTATCTGTTCTCTGGGTTGGCCTTATCCAAGTTCCCTAAGTGAGCAACTATTCTGACATTACACTGTTAATTAGAAGCCATAATTAGAGGGGGGGGGGAGGAACAATGGGACACCAAGACATTTCCAAGGGTGGTAGCTCCACCCGGGGCTGTGACATGTAGCATTCACCAGAGCATGTCTTCATTGTGCTTCTGAAGCCCCCTAACTCACCACCAGGAATGTGCAATACTAGTGTGACTCTACATACAGTATATGGGGCTCAGGCTCAACTGGCCAATGGTGCAGTATACAATAGTCACTGCTTGAGGAAGTCACCTGGTGAAGAAGATAATTTGTAAACTGACTAAGACCAGAGGTCACTTCTGGAGGATTTTGTAAATTTGCACACCTGAATTCTGCAAGGCCCTCCAAGACATACAGCCACTGCAGCAGACGAAGCATGTACGGTGGTACCTCGGGTTACATACGCTTCAGGTTACAGACTCCGCTAACCCAGAAATTATACCTCGGGTTAAGAACTTTGCTTCAGGATGAGAACAGAAATTGTGCTCCGGTGGCGCCGCAGCTGCAGGAGGCCCCATTAGCTAAAGTGGTGCTTCAGGTTAAGAACAATTTCAGGTTAAGAATGGACCTCTGGAACGAATTAAGTACTTAACCCGAGGTACCACTGTACAGCCCAGATCAGATCAGTGACTGTACCACAGGACCCCTAAACTTGTTGGTATCTCCACCTTGAGTTACCACTCGCCCAAGCAACATTTACATATTAGGCTCAGGGAAATTCATTTTTACAGACCTGTTCACATGGCTTTTAGTATTCTTCAAAAAAAGAAACCACCCTGACACTTAACAAATATATCAGACAAGTGGTTTTCATAGGGCATCATTTTGTATATACCAAGTCTCACCCTAAACGTAACTAACGGAGCAGTTAGCTATTCAGACAAAATGCACAGTATCACCATCTAAGATAAGGAGTATACTAGGCCTGCCAAGTGACAGGTACACGAAGGCAGGCAAATAAGTGCAGAACTTCAACCAATATAACTGCAAGGGCTGCTTCGTAATGCAGGACACCCCGTGGTTGCAAAATCTCCGCAATGTGGAAGGCCAAAGTTTAAATCTGACTGAGAACTCTGTCTTGGACCATCGGAGAGCAATAAAAATATCAGAAACCCAGAGTACGTACTGAGTGCCATGTCATCACAACTCTCTGAAATGTGAGCTCATAACCAAGGATTTCGAAGCCAGTTTCAGCTTCTCCACCATCTGAGGATGGTATACAAATTTAATAAATAATTGTAATAACCTTTTATAGGGCAGGTACCCAGCTGAATCCTGCCAACCTAGCAGTTTGAAAGCACGTCAAAGTGCAAGTAGATAAATAGGTACCACTCCGGTGGGAAGGTAAACAGTGTTTCTGTGCGCTGCTCTGGTTTGCCAGAAGCAGCTTAGTGATGCTGGCCACATGACCCGGAAAAATGTCTGCAGACAAACTTAAGCTCCCTCAGCCAGTAAAGCAAGGAGACCTACCGGTCAGGGGTCCTTTTACCTTTACCTTTATCCAGCTGAAAGAACATTGTTTCTGTTAAGGAAAGAGGGTGTAGTGGAGTCAGACTAGAATCCGGGGGAGAGCCAGAGACAATCCTCACTCTGTCATGAAGCTCACCTTGCTTGGGTCAGTCCTCGTCTCCTAACCCAAACCTACCCCACAGGTTTGTTGTGACGGTTAAAATGGGTAAAAGGATAACCAAGATTTGCCATCCTGAGCTCTCTGGAGGAAATGTACACAAATGTAAAAAAATAAAAAAATATATAAAAAAAATTGAGGGAGGAGAGTTCAGGCAGGGAGAAAGGCTCGCTCGGAGACTCGGACCGGGGTGGGGGGACGGGACATTTTTGCAATTCCAACCACACACGCGCGCACATTACGCACAGGCTGCGCGCCTCGGCCGCTCCACCTCTCTCCCTGCAGCCTCCCAAGCCAACACCAAGTCGCCTGCACAGGCCGTTCCCTCCACGACCTTACCAGCACCTCCAGGCAGCCCCGGTGGCGGAGGCGCCCGGCTCCCGCCTTCCCACAGCAGCCAGCCCGCTTCACAGCTTCCCGCCCGGGGCCGCAGGCTCTGGCCGGCCGGCTCCCCGATGCTACTCCAGCAGCGGCGCCTCGCTAACCGGCGGCAGCGCGCGTGGAAGGCGCCTCCACGGCGACGGGCAGCCGGGAGAAGCGGAGGGCCGGCCCTACCCAGCAGCTTACGCCCATCACCATCATCCCGGCTTCTCCCCGCCACCCGCCACCTCCTCCCAATGGCAAACACATCCCGGGCCGCCGCCCTTCCCGGGCTCCGCTTTCCTCCAGAGGCGAGAGGCGCTTACCGCCCCGAGCAAGCGCCGAGTCCCCGGCTCCGCCGCCCGCTTCTGCTCTCGGTGGGCGGGAACAGCCTTGCTGGCCCGGGTGGGAGATTGCGGGAGGAGGAGGAGAAACGCCACATGCGACGAGGAGCAGCAGCCCCTTCGGCTCTGGGAGGCGCCGGATCCGCCACCAGCAGCTCGGCCCGGGCGAAGCAGGCGAAGCGCCCTGGCCTGGCGGCTCTCCGTCCTGGATGTGCAACCAGATCCTTATGCAAGCCCAGGCTGACGTAGGAAAAAAACCCCGCGGAGATGAACGGTGTATTATTGCTCCTAAACAAGCGCGGTTGGCGCCTAGGTAGCAGCAAGCCCTTGCATGGTGGTGGTTTCGCTTGCTACAGCGCCCAGGGCACCAATAACTCTCCCCTCCGCCCATCCTAATAAGGATCAGAGGTTTTGCAGTGCAATTCTATGCACGCCTACCGAGGTGTAAGTCCACCAGGACTTACTCCCAGGTAAGTGCGTATAGGGTTGTGGGTTTTAGGGCAATAGAAGGGTTAAGGCAAGGATGAAGGATCTGTGGGTCCTGAGCACTGGCCGGGCGTCCCCACTGGTTTAAAGCGTTGTTACTGCAGCCAAGAAGATGAGAGTTCAAATCCTCACTTAGCTGGACTTCTGAAAGCATCATGCTTTTGGGGTGAAAGATTACGGAGTTCAGTGTGACTGATTTCCATTACAGATTAGTTGTCAGAGGCAACGGGGTGGGGGGTGGAATTGTTTGGAGGAGCAAGCAATTCATTGCAAGTACTGTATTGTTATATGCATTTATAGGTCTCCTATTACACACCTTGTCCTTTGGCCTAACTATGGTGTCCTGCAGGGTTTGACCTTGTGCCCAATTGAAATATACTCAGAGTCGAGAGTGGATTTCATTCTCTTTATTCAGCTCATAGTGGTGAGGAGGAAGAATGAATGTCTCCTCAAAGTATCTGCTTTATATACATTATTTACACAATGGGCTGCACGTGATTGGCTAATTCCGGAATTCTCCTGTAGGCCAATCAGGTTGTGGATTCACTTCTATCTGGAGCATGATTGGGTGGTTCCTGCCGACCAATCATACTGCTGCATTGTTCTAGGACCAATCAGACTGCTGCAGTTTGGATCCTATTCAACTCAGTACATAACACCCCTCCCCTCTAAGTTCCAGTCCTGCCCGGGAGGTCCCATTCATAGTCCTCAAGGTACGCCGGCAGCCTTCGTGTGCGTTGCGGCCTGGGGTGTTCCCTGGTCCGGGGTTCAGGTTCTGGCTCGTGTTCCAAGGATGCTGGCTGTGATGGGGCCGTTGGGTCTTGTGCAACCAGCTCGCTCAGTCGTGGTTCTGGTTCCGGTGTCCTTTCGGCCTCGCGGGTCCTCTCTGTATTTACTGATTCTGCCTCTCCTGCTGGCCCCTCCTGTAATATGGGCCTCACTGCCCCACTGTTCCCTTGGGACTCCTCTGACCTGTCCTCCTCCTGGTTTTCTCCCGGGAATCGTCGCCGTATCTGATCGCAGTAGCGGCGCCAGCATTGCCCCCCATCCGTTAGCACCTTGTACGACACGGGGCCAGTGACCCTGGTGACTGTGGCGGGTACCCATGCTGGGCCTGTCCCAAAATTCTTTGCGTACACTGGGTCCTGAGCCTCGAAGGTCCGGGGGTTCCTGCCTTCCCCCACCACTACCTCATCCTGAGCTCTATCAGGGTGAAGGTGGTCCAATCTGATTGCAAGGCTGGCATTGCAACCCATTAGTAGTTCAGCAGGGCTCCGGCCAGTTGTTGAGCTGGGGGTGCTGTGCTGTGCTAGAAGGAATGTGGCAAGGCGGTACTCCCAATCCCCTTGCGTCATGCGGCAGAGGGTGTCCTTGGTGGTCCGCACCATGCGTTCTGCTTGGCCGTTGGTGGCAGGGTGGAATGGCGCTGAACGGATGTGGTGGATGGCGTTCTGCGCTGTGAAGGTTTGGAATTCTCCTGACGTAAATGCTGTCCCGTTGTCTGAGACGAGAGTGTCAGGGAGCCCGTGGGTTGCAAACAGTCTGCGTAGTACCCGGATGGCTGCGGACGTAGAAGTGGACAGTACCAGTGCAACTTCCAGCCATTTGGTGTAGGAGTCCACCACTATGAAGAATGTTTTCCCCTGAAAGGGGCCAGCGAAGTCCACATGCAGGCGTGACCATGGTGCTCGGGCGGACTCCCAGGACTGGACTGGGGCCCTTGGGGGATCTGGGTGGGATTCTTGGCAGGCCTGGCAGTGTTTGACCCAGGCCTCTATCTCTCCGTCGATCCCTGGCCACCACACATAACTCCTGGCAAGGGCCTTCATTCTTACTACTCCTGGGTGTGTCTCGTGCAGGGCTGTGAGGACCCTTTTGCGGAGGGGCTGGGGAACAACGGCCCTGCTTCTCCATAACAGGCACCCCTTGTGGGCCGACAGCTCATGTTTGCGGGTTGTGTAGCCGGCAAATTCTGGTCCGGGGCTGCAGCTGGGCCATCCCCTCCACACCCAGTCCAAGACCCGGGAGATGACCCTATCTTTCTTGGAATGGTGTGCAACTTCTTGTGCCTGAATGGGGCGGTCGGGAAGCAGCTCCAGGCTCATAACCTCTTGTGCGGGTGCCTGCTGAGTGCGTCCGCGTGGCCCATCGCCTTCCCAGGGCGGTGAATCAGTGCATACTGGTAGCAGAGGTGTTGTCATTGGTTATGGGCTCTATTTCTCCTTACCCTCACAAATTGGGAAGACGGGGGAGATTCTGAATAGGGGTCTGAGGTCAATGATGGACTGGATGGAGGTAAACAAACTGAAATTAATTCCTGGAAAGACAGAAGGGTTGAGCTGGGGATAGTGTGTTTCCCCTTGAAAATCAGATTCACAGTTTGGAGTTGCTGGAGTTACCCAGCTTTGCTCCAGGGTGCTTAGGATAGAGCTCCTTACGTGCAGGATTGAATTGTGAGGTCCTTTAATGTTTTAGAATCAGAAAGTGGGATGGGCAGACAAGTGCTAGAGAAGATGCAAACAAGGATTACAACCATTGCTGTTAGCTTTTAGGTTTTAGCTGTTACATAACTGGTAGATGGAACTTGGGGAAGCATATGCACGCAATGTATAAAGGCATTGCCTGGTAACCATGTATGCCAGGATTCAAATCCAGTGGCAGGTCACACAAAGAAATAAAAAAGCTTCTCATGTTGCATTCAAACTGAAACATATCTGGGCATTTTTGTGAAAGTCAAATATAGTAGCAAAAATGAAAAAAAAAATGCAGATAACATTTCTTCCATCTAAACTGTGGCATTCATTCTCTGTTGACCACAATGCTGGTTTATCATAATTTATTTAGCTTCTAATGCCATTGCAGAATAACCATTTCAGGTGTCTACTGATATAGTGGATTCCTTTTTGCATTATGAAAGCACTATTGTGTTCAACATGTGCCCTCCTACATAAAAAGACCACCAAAACTTTCCCTTTTCAAAGAAGAAAAGACAACATCAGAGAACTTAGGTAGATGTGTGAATTTTTGCCAGCCTCAGTGTTGCTTCAGCTTCAAGCAGCACACAGCTAAACTAACTCACCTTGCCTAGAAATGAAGGAGCTGCTGTAGCCATTTTTTAATGTCATTGATTATTTTTTTAATGCCATTGATGCAGTTGTGGGTTCCTGTGGGAGATGCTCAGAATTCCTCCTAGCCTCAAAACGTAGGCAACAGCTGGCCTTTGAGGGGCTACGAGTGGTTGGAGTTCCTGCCATGAAGTAGGCCAGGGTCCATGCACTGTGTCCTCCCAGCTGAGTTCAAACTTGGTGCCTTATTCATGCTGGCACACTGTAGTAGCCACCATGTGTGAAGGGAGCAGATGACAAAGGAAGCCAAGAACAAGAAATGGGCTGAGGGCGAAGCCAGAGAACTGTTTCCACCTCTGATATCCCCTTCTGCTAGGGCAGCAAGGACATGATGGAGACTCGGCAAACTGGGGTTGTGGTTAGACCACCAAGGTTCATTGCTGTGTGGAACAAACTTGAATGCCACTGTGATGGAGCTCCAGAGACTCTGCCTACATACAGCCAATTTCGCTGTATGTCCCAGGACCTACACGGAGTTTGGCAATAAGAATTGGTAAGGAAGTCACACTAGTAGAGAGGGGGCAGCACCGTTGTGTTTTGATATATAATTATCATAATAAAAAGCATTATTCAAAATTACTGTATGAGAATTTCATGGTACACAGTTGCCACAGAAGAGGACTAATTCTAATTCTAATTCTGAAGCGGGGTCATTAGTGTTGGGGGGGGGATAACTTTTTGTCTGGACCTGTAAGAAAAAGCGTTCGATCTATTTATTTCATGATAAAAAAAGATCTTTGTACAATCACACATGGCACTATTTATTAAAAATGAATACATTTGCTATTATTACAATTGGAAAAAGGTCATTAGTGTTAACCTAGCTTTGTGCAAGTGCAATTACTTTAAACAGTAATTATTGAGTTTATGCACTGGAGAGTACTTACATGACTCATATGCAATATCAGTTATATGAAGGGAATTCCAGAGAGAACAGGACTTGCTTAATTTTTTTAGCAGTAGTAATTAACTTCTGCATATCCAGTGTAATTATTTCTATTGATTGAAGCAGAGAAGATATTTTCCTATCTAAAGACAATAATCTCAGGTTACAGTATGTGCCTGTTCCCAAAATACTATTTCAAGCAGTGAGTAGAACTGTAATTTGTCAAGCAGCCTGATTTTCACCAGAGTTTTCTGCTGCTACAGCAGAGTAAAAACTGTTACACAGCCATAGGAGTCTCTTGATTACTGGGAGAGGAGGAAAGGTAACAAGCTGAAAATGAGAATAGTGCTCCTGCCCCTTTGTGTTAAAACCCATTAAATGCACATTTAAATAAAAATCAACAAGGATACTCGCTACAAATTTGCAAAGTAGTATAATACCAGATGGCATTATGCACTGAACAACCTTGTGCCTACATTCCCACATTAAGAATACAGCCTACCTACACTGTATACAAGATGTTCAAAATGCAGTTAAACACTTTAGTTAATGATTTATTAAAGACCATCTGTCAGTATGAATCTTCTGTTCCCAGTTCTATTAATTCAGAAATTAACGCTCGCTCAGTCTCTTCCCCCATCCTTCTGCCAGTTCCAATTTCATATAATCCTGAAGGTATTATGGGCCTTTTGTCAGCATCTTAAATATAGTGATTTGAGTCAGATGCACTGACCATCAGGGGTTGGTAATGGGATGGGAGCATTCCCTCTTCTCTTGCATGCTTGTTTTCACTTGCAGTAGTTACAGACATGGGCTTTTTTTTTTTTTAAATGAGGTAGGGGGTCCCTCCACTGGATCTTGAACCTGCCCTGCTGCTATCCATGAAGATAATGGATCCAATCCAAATGCTGGAAAGAGGATTTTTTCTTCGGCAGTGCAAGCAGTGGGACTGTGGATGTTGCAGAAGCCATACCA